CACAGATAGCTACTATTAGTATTCAAATCAAATTTTTCCACACAGATAGCTAATATTAGTGTTCAAATCTAATTTTTCCACACAGATAGCTACTATTAGTGTTCAAATCTGATTTTCCCACACAGATAGCTACTATTAGTGTTCAGATCTAATTTGTCCACACAGATAGCTACTATTAGTGTTCAAATGAAATTTTACCACACAGATAGCTACAATTAGTGTTCAAATGAAATTTTACCACACAGATAGCTACTATTAGTTTTAAAATCAAATTTGTCCACACAGATAGCTACTATTAGTGTTCAAATCAAATTTTACCACACAGATAGCTAGTATTGGTGTTCAAATCAAATTTTACCACACAGATAGCTAGTATTGGTGTTCAGTTCTAATTTTCCCCACAGATATCTACAATTAGTGTTCAAATCTACATTTTTCCACATAGATAATTTCTGTATGTAAAGATTTAATTTTCCATATGGATAGCCAGTGTTGGTTGTCATATATAATTTCCCACATAGCTAACTAGTTGAAATAGATGAATTGCTTTGTTAATTTTCAAACTTGTGGATGGATAGCATTAATTTGTCTCATATAATTATAATGTGTGCAACTCTTTATTAGTTATATTTGAGAATTTATGTAAACATTTGGAGAATAGTATACTTGCTAATTTATTCCTTTTATTATTCATATTTTCTCCTCATTTCAATTCCAAATGCCACATCTTAATCTTCTTCTTCTTCAGCGTACCAAGCCCTTGAGGTTCATAGCTGCAGATATCACCTGCCTTTACTCATCTCTCTTGTTGGCCTTCTCTTTCCAGTTGGTGACACCAAGTGTTTGCAGGTCTGTCTGGATGTTATCTCTCCATCGTCTTTTTGGTCTGCCCCATGGTTTATGACCATTCAGGTCCCTTGTATATAAATTTTTTTACCTCTCTGTCATTTGACATTCTCCCATTATGCCCAAGCCATTTCAGTCTATTAGATCAATGGTGATTTAAACAGATTATGAATTTCGTTGTTGCTTCTCATTCTCCATTCCCCGCTGTTTGCATTTTTTGGGGGTCCAACTCTTTATGGTAGTTTCAAAATGGCAGAACCACTTTTTACTTGCCCCAGAGAGGTGCAGCTATTCATGTTTCTTTCCTGGGGAAAGTAAAAATTATAGACTCATTTTATGATTAATTCTGAAAATGATTTATGACACAGTACAAAATGCTCATTGGAATTTTAAAAAAAACAGTGCTCTATAATCTGGTCACCACCTGGTTATATCTATGTTAAAATTTAAAGCGACTTCTGCACCTGATGACAAAATAATGTTTATTTTATTGTATAACCTTTGGTACAAAACATATTTTAACACATAAACACAAACAAACCTGTATGCACATTCAGAAAAAAAGATGGAGAGAGAAGGAGCCTTGGAGCCTCTCAAGCTATCGAATTAATTTGAGAAATACCAGTTACTGGAGACAGAGATGGGAGAATAAAAGAGAGAGGTGAAAAGATAAATAGAGATAATGGAGAGATTATAAGACTTAGGGGTGAGTGATAATACTCCAACATCATCATCATCATCTTCATTATCAAGGGTCTTGCCAGCTGAATTAGGCGTTTATACATTTCCACATATGTCGTTCTTTGGTGGTATGGATCAATTCCACTGATGATGTTTCTCCATGCCAGTGTCTTTAGCCAGCCATCATCTTTTTGATCTACTTCTGCATTTTCTACTAGTGATCTTTTCAGTCGTCACAACATTTTCCAATGCTCATTTTCTCATCACATGACCAAAGAACTGTGTCTCCATCTCATTGCTGTGTATAATGTTCTACTTTCTTTAGCCATTTCCAGGCAATCCTTGTTAGTTTTTCTGGTAGTCCAAGGTATCTACAACATTCTTCTCAAGAACCACATACTCTAGCAAAAATATAAAATAAAGAAAAACAAACAACTCAGGAGAGAAAAAGCATAGATCCATTGCCAATAAAAACCATGTTGTAAAAGGTAACTGATTAGAGATTTGCGGAAATCTGAAGTGTTTGACTGATAGGCATTGATGTCATAGCCTAGCTGTAAACCACAATGTGATTAGCCAGCTGCCCTTTAAAAGAGCAAACAGAAAATTGAGAAGACCAGGACTGTGAAATTTATTCCTGCGTGTAGTTTAACGTAAAGCAGCTGATACACAACAGATATACATCCTTGCTAATCCATAGCAACAAAACAAACAAAGATAGATCAACTAGACAATGCTGTTCTCAAAATAGGTAAACAAACACCCAAACCGTACTTCTCACTTTCCTGGACCATGAACAGCTTGCGAATGGATTAAAAAAAAAATCTTTGTTGACCTTGCTGGTGAGGATGTCAGAGGATTACAAATCCTTAATGCTGCTTTTTTAAAAATGTCATTTTGAGGCATAATGGTGGACATATATTTGTTCTCATTGACAAGCGTATGAGAACTTATGTGGTGTTTTCATACCTACGAGTTAGACTTATGTGGGGTTTTCATGCCCACCGGCTTTCTTCTCTTAAAGAAATCTTTGATGACCAGTATCTTTTTTTTATATTTTTTATTTTCTTTCTCCTCCTCCTCTTCTTCTTCTTCTTCTTCTTCTTCTTCTTCTTCTTCTTCTTCTTCTTCTTCTTCTTCTTCTTCTTCTTCTTCTTCTTCTTCTTCTTCTTCTTCTTCTTCTTCTTCTTCTTCTTCTTCTTCTTTTTCTGATGCTGCTGCTGCTTTTCTTCTTCCTTCTTTCTTCTGCTGCTTCTTCCTTCTTTCTTCTGCTGCTTCTTCTTCTGTCTTCTTCTTCTTCTTCTTCTTCTTCTTCTTCTTCTTCTTCTTCTTCTTCTTCTTCGTCTTCTTCTTCTTCTTCTTCTTCTTCTTCTTCTTCTTCTTCTTCTTCTTCTTCTTCTTCTTCTTCTTTTTCTTCTTCTTCTTCTTCTTCTTCTTCTTCTTCTTCTTCTTCTTCTTCTTCTTCTTCTTCGTCTTCTTCTTCTTCTTCTTCTTCTTTTTCTGATGCTGCTGCTGCTTTTCTTCTTCCTTCTTTCTTCTGCTGCTTCTTCTTTCTTTCTTCTGCTGCTTCTTCTTCTGTCTTCTGTCTTCTTCTTCTTCTTCTTCTTCTTCTTCTTCTTCTTCTTCTTCTTCTTCTTCTTCTTCTTCTTCTTCTTCTTCTTCTTCTTCTTCTTCTTCTTCTTCTTCTTCTTCTTCTTCTTCTTCTTCTTCTTCTTCTTCTTCTTCTTCTTCTTCTTCTTCTTCTTCTTCTTCTTCTTCTTCTTCTTCTTTTTCTGATGCTGCTGCTGCTTTTCTTCTTCCTTCTTTCTTCTGCTGCTTCTTCTTCTGTCTTCTTCTGTCTTCTTCTTCTTCTTCTGTCTTCTTCTTCTTCTTCTTCTTCTTCTTCTTCTTCTTCTTCTTCTTCTTCTTCTTCTTCTTCTTCTTCTTCTTCTTCTTCTTCTACTGCTTCTTACTCTTTTTCCTTTTCTTCTTTATCTTCTTTGGCTGTTTAAAAGGCAGTTAGCAGGTTTATGTTGTAGTTTATGGCTAGGCTACAATATCTGTGCCTTTCAGCCCAGCACATACAATTTCAGTAAATCTATAATTAGTTGCCTTTTATGACATGCTTGTAAAGGGGCAATTGGTCTATTCCCCATCTCCCAAAACACCCACTGGGGCCCTGGAGCCTACGCTGGGAACTTAGAAGTTTAGAAGGCTCCAGAACTATTGATTATGGTGAAACATTTTCATTGGCAGAAAGTTGTAAGTAAAGAAGGAAAATAACTTTTCACGCTAGTGATGTATAAGGTATATCATGCTAGATTTAGATTTTTATAGACTAGTAGGCACTTGTCCATAGGTGATGTGGCCAGCATCATGCCGGCCACCTTTACTTCCCAGGACTTTACCTGGCTGGGCATTGAATATTGATAAATGAATCCGCTAACTAGTTTTTCCTATTACATAACAGGGGTGAATAATTTCTTACGGCTACGGTGTAAAATGGGTTTTGTGTATTGATTCCACTGTCCAGATGTGCACAATTGATCGTTCAGGCCGTATATATCAATACTGAATTCTGTACCAGATGATTCGACATGAAGGCTGGGATTTTATGGGAATGAATTACTAGTAGGGAAAAGGCATTCATATGTTGTCAGACATTGATTTATTGCTTGGGTGTGTTGTGGGGAATTGTAACCTGAACAGTCCTGGCTCACTTTTCGTGGTTCGGTTTTGGACAAGCAGTGTTTGAGACTGCTTGCTCATTTCTAAGGGAAGCATCACTTTTTCGTTTATATGCTGTATAAGGTATTCTTGTTGACTCTTGCAGTGAAATCAACATTTAGGGTGTTTTGCTAGGTCTTTCGAGGTTTTTGTATTGCCTTTTTGTGGTGACATCAACGTTCCTGATATGCCCCATTGTGTGATGCTGATGTTTACTGTGACTTTGACTGTAACATCAACTTCCATTGCATGCCTCATTTTGTGAAGTTATTTCTCATCTTTCGTTGTACACTTCTGATTGAATGCCGCTTGAAATTTTGGTAGTGGAATTGTTGGTTTGTGAGCTACAAAACATCTTCATTTTTAAAGCTGTTTGAGACATCGGCTGCTGCTTAAAACAGAAGTTTTTAATTGAATATTTCAGCATTTGATGCTGTTAGCGATAAGAATTAAGATAAGAATTAGCCGTTAAGAACCAATATCTAATCATTCCCATTAATGCTCAAACCCATTTTCAGCAGTCAGAGTCTCAGTGATAATGGTGCCAGTTGTAGTCTGATTTTATAAACTGTTTGAGAAACAGGGAGCAACCATCTCATCTTTCAAAAGAAGTCCCAATTTTTGAAGCTGTGTATTTAATTTCATTGAAGGATTTGTGTCTTGATTTGTGTGAGATATTTCTACTGTATTTGCTGGCATCTGGTGGTAACATCAACATCTTTTGGATACATTTTATTTGGTGATAATGCTCTTAGTGATCTCCAATCATGGGCAACTGCTTGTGTGCACTTTTGATGGGCTTCAGTAAGTATTGTGTTTGTTTATTGGCAGATTGCTTAATTCCTTTTGCTTGTAGAAATTTGCTTTGGACCTGTATGTCTGTTTGTGTACTTCTTCTTATTCTGTCTTTCATCTCTCCTTGGGGTGAAGGCCCTGAACCAGTACATGGCGGCTTGGTAGCACTGTGGCTTGATTTTTTGCCTGCTAGTCTAATGGTCTTGGCTTTGAATCTGCATCTGCCAGATTTTGGTAACTGATCTAGGGCTTCCAGACGGGCCTAATCTAGAATGAGTTTATGGAAGTGTTCTGGGAATTAAACAGGCCAGCATGACCAAAAAAAACAAAACAAATATGAGATCTTTTCATGTTTTTGGTGCCTCGGCTATGTAATGCTAGACTTATGTTTTTATAAACTAGTTAGCAATGGATGGATGATGTGATCAACATCACACCAGCTGCGTTAACTAACTTTACTTGTGCATTACTTGGTACCGAGTTTGGCTGGGTCGACGAGGAAGCCAAGGTCAGTTTTGAAAAAGTCATCCTTGATGCGGATTTGAACCCTAGATCTTTAGGCCAGTAGATGAGTGTCTATTCACTACATTACTGTGGCTCCTGAAGCATCCAACATGATTTTGATTAAATCAGACATTAAATGCTAATTTCTCTATGTTGTTGTTGTTGATATTGATCCAGCGGCGCATGAGCTTTCGCCCTTTGGCCCAATGCCATGTCATGTTTATGGCATTGTGGTGCTGGGGTGTCTGTGGATTACCTCCCTCCCCGGACAGCAGACAGAAGTGCGCTGTGTCAGTTTTTAGGGAAATATGGATTGTGTTTCTGCCTTCCCCTTTGACACGTAGCTAAGGTGGGGCTCACAGTGTGCTCATTCCCCACCACCAGATTGCCTGCAGGTTTCGCTGAGCTCTTCTTGGCTCTAAGCATGGCCTAAGCATGAGTAGTTGGGGCAACTGAATCGTCATGTCCTGAGTCCCTGTGCCTTCACGATAGTTTCCGGTATTCAGGGGGTTAGCATGCTTGTTTCCACTCCTAAGACTGTTCAGCATCCCTCCGGCTCCTTCCCTCCCACAGGGGCACTCCAGTGTGGTGCACCGGGTTTTTTAATCAAGGTTTGCTTTTTTAGATCCATTGTGTTTTGCCTGGGGATTGGCACCCCCAGTTACCAGGACTACCTCGGGGAGGGTGTGGCTTTTCGCCACGCACAATGGTCTTGGGGTAAGAGAGGTTATGCTAGGTCAAGAGGCTGACACCGCAATGGACACTTCTTTCATGAATAGATGTTTACTATACCTAGGGTGAAGTAAGGGGGGAAAACCACTACCCACAACACCAACACTTCTTACCCCCTTCCTCTCGAGGCTCAGACCGGCTAATTGCTCTATAAAAGCATAGGTCCAGCACTGAAAGCTCAATACACCATTTGTACACCATTTGTACACCATTTGCACATGTTTATGATTGTTTGCATTTTTCTGGTAAAATTGTCTCAGAGTGAAATCTAAGACTAACCCTTTTAGTCTCCTTTTAATCTTTTCACCCCTACAAGCCTAGTCACTTCCGGTGATGCCACATCCCCTTAAATGCCGATAAATAGGCGAGTCTGCAGTAATCTGTTCTCTTAAATCATAGTTAAATGTCATTAGTCCTGTGTGCACCTGTGCAGTGTTTAATAGACCAGGATATGAATATAACAGACTAAAAAGTAGCATTAAGAGGGGTTTTCTTATGACCCCAATGGCTTTTTGAAAGCCAAGTAGATGTCAAATTTTTCAGCAAGTATTAACAAGGTCACAGCATGACTGAGCTGAGACTTTTTTTAACCTTTAAATTTATTTATATTTCAAATCTAGATAAATAATTTGTTTTTAAATTTATTAGGGACCTGTTTACAATGTCGGGAAGGTGGCTGGGTATGGGGGTACAGAATGAAGATCCCTGTATGTGTGTGTATGTGTTATCCTGTGTCTCTTTGTGTGTATATTTGTGCATGTATGTGTGTGGGTGTGTGGTAGAATGAAGATCTTAATGTGTATATATTTTAAATAAGATCACAGGAAGTGGGTGGACAGCATCAAGAAATAGGCTGAAACAAATTTGTATGAGTGCAAAGTGAAGATACAGAGAGATTGAGAGAGAGATTGAGAGAGAGAGAGAGAGAGAGAGAGAGAGAGAGAGAGAGAGAGAGAGAGAGAGAGAGAGAGAGAGAGAGCACTTGAGATAACATTTGGATAACATTCAAATGTAGTTAATTTAATCAGTCTCTATACGGCTGTGCCATGAATATTTCACTTAGGGCTCACAGTTTCTTCCATTATATCCTATGCCACCATTTCAGTACCATATATGGAATCCAGTTTGGTACCTTTGGCTCTTCTATCAGTCATAGTTGAGGTTTCAATCTCACTGCACTTAGGTCACCTCAAACTTGCTCTGTTATTTACCAGTGAAAATCAAATGGAGTGTCTTTTACTGTCCCATCTGAAAAACTGGCAGCGTCCGTGGCTAAGGCATTGTGAGTCTGACTCATAATTCCAGCATACGGCGATCGAAAACCCACTGCTGGCTGTGTGGATTTTTATCATGGTATGGGTCTTTGCAGTCCGACCCAGCTTAAAATAGGTACCAGGATGGCTGTCCTGGTTAAGTAAAGACGGTCGGCATAATGCTGACCACATTATCCACCCAGAGCCGATTGGTCTGTAAAAGTATGCCCAGTGCGCCTAAGGTGTGAAAAGGGATCTTTACCTTTTCTTTGCTTACTTATTTGAAAAACTGGTGAACAAACAATTAGTTCCGGCACAATCCAGAAAGAAGAGTACGCAGTAAATGCGTATGGCAGTTGCTAGAGATGCCAAAGCCAAGTCAACACCAGAAATGCTGTTTGTTGTTGATGGATGTAGTTGGACCAGATAAGTTGGCAATACACATGTAAAATTATTGCATAAGGTATTTCGCCAGGCCACATATAAACTGGCTACTGGCCATACTGAAAGGCATTCACGGGAACAACACAGCTCACAGTGCTGCAATAAGCACTAAACTCAGTGGCTCAGGCAGTGAATCTGACAGCTGCATTAGCAAAGCATTGTCAGAAGCAAAAATAATTTCAAAACTCAACATTCTGTAATGCCTAGTCCTTCATTTTAGACAGGATCGAGTCTAATAACGTTTATCAGTCTTTGTCTTAGGGTTTCTCTTGAGCATCCTCACTTCCTCAATCTGTGTGTTTCCTATTTCAGTGCCTGTTTTGTAATTCTTTGTCTCCTTTGTCTCACATAATTTATTTCCATCTTCTGTATCTTATAGTTGTTGTTATAACTGTATCAGTGTTGAATGATGAATTTAGAATCCACATCACAGCACTTGGGATACTCCCATAAGTGCTCTATCCCCATCTTCAGCAGCAAGCAAAGAGTTCCAATTCTGATGTTACCAGTGACTGTCTGACTGTATATCCGTCTCACGTTTCCCTTGGGTGTTGAGTGTTGGTCAGATCCCCTGGTAACTCTTTACAGCACCATTCTCTTTAAACCGTAATGATCTGTTGGTGCCTCTGCACAATTCACTGGCTCCAAAAGGGCGCTTCACAACATCTAGTTTGTAATACATCAGCTAACTGTATCAATGTCCAGACAGTTAATAAAATTTGTAAAAGTTCATTGGCATTTATTTTTTATTGCAGCATCAGAGTTCGAACCTCCAAGTTACCAGGGCCCTTTCACAAAACCCACGGAGGGACAGAGTTTGATGAGCTACCTGACCTCCCAGGATTTCAACACCTGTGCTAACTTAGAGAAGGTACAGCAGCTTTGTGTCTTCTTCAGCATTCTGAGCTCTTGAGGTTCCTTGCAGGAGATATGAAATCAATCAGGTGCTATCTTCACAGTGAAGGTTTGCTGCAGTGGATCTCCAACATGCTGTGTCGCTTGTCCTGGTTGTACACTCTCTGAGACTGCTGCCCGTCTGGCTCTTGATGTTGTCCTCCCACTTGTATCATTGCCTGCTGCACTCTTGTCTTCTACCTTTTCCTCTAGCATGGTTTTTATAAGTGTTTTATGTCTTTTAATGTTTCATGAGTATTTCAGTTGTCTCCTTTTTATTTCTTTCAGCAATTTTCTTTTCATTTGTAGCCTTTGCAGAACCTCTGTATTGGACTGTTTCTGTTTTCATGAAATACGACCTATTCTTGTGTATACCCACATCTCCAGAGACTCAGTTCGATTTTCTAGTAGGGATACCACTAACCTTCATTCGTCTCTGCGTTTGGCTATGTCCTTTCAGTTGTTTGACTCCAAGTGTTTGTAGGTCTGTCTGAATATTTCTCTCCTTGCCTTCTTGGTCTGTTTTATGGTCTATCCCATTTAATCCTTTTCACATTTGTTTGTTATTCTCTCAGCATTTCACAACCATGGTTGTCTATTGGCCCTCATGATGCCAGTAATAAATCTTCTTCTTCTGCCTAACTCCCAGTGGAGCTTGGACCTTCAACCAACACCAAGTCGCTCTATCCTTTACTATCGCATGCAACTCTCCCCATGTTGTCCCCGTCTTTCAAATGTCACTCTCTAGCTTCCTTCTCTATGTGTTTTTTAGTCTTCCTTTATTTTCCTGCATTTGTGTGTTCCAGTGCAAAGACATTCTAGATATATTGTTCTTAGGTTTTCTCAACAAAGTGTCCAATCCAACGCTAGAGTTTTTTTCTTCACCACTTGGTCCACTGGAACTTGTTTAGTTCTCTCCTAAAGCTCTACATTAGTTATTTTATCATGCCATTTAATTCCCTCTGCTCTGCACATACACCAGTTAATGAAGTTTGTAGTTTATTAGTAATTGCCTTAGTTGTTCTCAATGTTTCTACTCCATACAAAAGAACTGATTTGACATTAGAATAGAAAATTTAAAAAAAAAGTTAAAATGGTCAGTAATCAGTAGGGATTTTGAAAAAAAGAAGTGAAGAATTATGATTCTGAGTTTCTCACTATCCAGTCTTAACTGTTTTAATCTTGCACGAAGCATGCCTGTCCTGATCTTTCTCAGCATGTTAGAGTCAGTTACAGTTATGATGCATGTGTGTGTCATGTTCTCTAGCCAGCAGAAAGCTGCAGTGACACCCTCCACCTCCATTCTTAAGCTGGATGTTGTGGTATCATATGCTAGGCTCTCCTGCACCAAAATAATAGCAGCACACATGATCACATACAGGTTGGCAGAAGTCATAAATAATGATTTTACAAGTTAGCGCAAGCAGTAAATAATTGAACCATAAAAAATAAGCATAAGTTGACCTAGGTCATACAGTTACAGGACAGATTAGCAAGGGCTATGAATAGATTTTAAAATATGGTGTGGTGTATGTCTTCATTGTCTGTATTTATCACTTTTAATAATTAGGACAGAGGGGTCGTGATTAAAGGCTGTATGGTTAGTGTAGTTGCCATGAACTGTGCAGTTTAAAAATTTTATTTTTTGGCCTCAGCAGAATAAATCTGTGTGCCTTACCAAAAATCAAACCTGTATCTATCTGTTTAATGTCTTTCTCTGCTCTGTGCAGGTACGGCTAATGATTGATTTCTGGGATCAATCAATCAATAAATCAGGTGCCGTCTCCACAGTGAAGGTTGGCTGCAGTGGATCTGGGACACGCTCTGTCTTATGTCCTGGTTGTACACCCTCTCAGGTTGCTGCCCGTCCATCTCTTGATACTGTTCTCCCACTTGAATCATTGCCCACCTCTTGCTCTCTTGCCTTCAACCTTTCCCTGCAGTATGGATTTGAAAAGCATGTTATATCTTTTAAATGTAGCCAAAGTATTTCAGTTGTCTCTTTTTTTATTTCTATCAGCAATTCTCAAATTATTTGTAGTCTTTGCAGAACCTCTGCTTTAGACTGTTTTTGTTTCCATGAAATATGATCCATCCTTCTGTTTACCCACATTTCCAGGGACTCAGTTCCATGTATGGGATGTAAGCTTCCTGCATGGTGATATTGTTGAGTTTCAACAAGTTGTTAACTCCATCTATCCATATTCTTCCTATCCTTCTTCTGCCTCTTGACGTTTCCATTCTCATGGTTTATGCTCTTTAATCAGGTGACGCTGGGTTCATTCTGACCAGGTGGCCAAACCATTTCAGTCTTTGTTTTTCAATAAATCTAATTACAGGTGTTGTTCCCTGTTTCAACAAGCCTTATTACAAAATTATTACCCGTGTGGGTTCTGGGGTCCTCATTCATTCATTCATTTAGTAGCATGTCCCTCGCGGAACCTCGCTGCCATAACAACCCTCCGGAAAACCTTCCTATCCTGAGCAAGATGTCCTGCGTCTGATACACCCATCTGGAGATCCTCTGCCACATCCTGCACCCATCTTCTCCTTGGCCTTCCTCTTCCTCTCTTCCCAGGCATATACCCCTCCATTATTGTTCTCTCTAGACTTCCATGACGTTTCAAGTGACCAAAATATTTAAATTTTCTTTGTTTTATTGTCTTTACTAGCCAACCCTCTTCAATATTCAGCTCTTGAAGTATGGATGCATTTGTTCTTTTCTTTACCCAAGATATTCTTAGAACCTGTCTGTAACATTTATATTCAAATGCATTTATGCGCTGTTCCACTTGTTTAGTAAGTGTCCAGGTCTCACAGACGTATGTTGCAATGGGAAAGATGCATGCTCTTAAAAATCTGACCTTTGTAGTTCTATCTGTACAATTCCATAATTTATTCAGTTGTTTTAGTCTTTGAAGAGCAATTGATAGTCACCGTTTAATTTCTTTCATTGTGTCACCATTGTTGGTAACCAGTGACCCAAGATATTCGAAATTTCCCACCACTTCCAATCTTTCCTCATTAACATATATTTCCTTCTCCATGGCAGTTCATGATTGTTATGGATTCTTGGCAAAATTTGCAGAAGGTAGTTTGCCGTTGCTTTCCTCCTGAGCAGTGACTATACTAGTCGGTGGCCATAGCCATTGTCTCTGGGGTCCTACTATAGGGAAAAAAAGAATAGACCCACTGCCTACCCAAAAGCATGTCGTAAGAGTCGACTAATTGGGAGCTTTCTTTGAAGTCGGAGTGCATCTGCCTGAGAGGCAAGGAACCAGCAGTCTGCATGCCAATGAGTCAGATCTGTAAAACGGATGCACACGCAACACTCAGGTTCTGGAACAGGACTGCAGTCCAGAAGTGGACGAACAACCAAAACTTGTCCGCCGGAGTTTACAGCTGGTGACCGCGAAGAAGAAGAAGATTACAAACTAATGTTTGTTTGCATTCATAGAGCGTGAACCCCGGAAAGTCTTATTTTAATCCATCACAGTTTAACAGATGATTGGATTCTGAACCAGGGCATGCTCATTTGCTTGGTTGTGAAGTCCCAGGTTGTTAAAAACTCCTTCAGTGCAACCTTTTCTACTTCTCAACTTTTTAATTACTGCAGGTATTAAATACTGCAGTTGTTTTGCTACATCCTGGAGAGGATTTGCAAGTAACTTTTTAAAAATTGTAATTATTAAATGACACAGTGGCTTAGTTTAAAAAAAAAAAAAAAGGTGATGAAAGGCATCGTTCCTGGAGGCAGCAGTCAACCATCATCAAATTAGGCACATAACATTCGGAAGTGCATGAGGCAGGGCAGCTAGTGAAAGAACAAATTTTTTGGTGCTTTATTAATATCCTACCCCACATAGAGGAACTCCACAGGTCACGGAACAGTCTAATATTTCAGGGGGTGGTAAATAGGCTGCATGCAGTCATGGGACCTAGGCTGCACGCAGTTGTGGGACCTAGGCTGCAGGCAGTCATAAGATCTAGGCTGCACTCTCACGTGGGACGTAGGTAGGTTGGGGTCAGGGCCAGTTCTAGATGTTTTGTGGTCGTTAAAAGCATCAGAAAGCCGGGAAACCCAGTCTTACCACCCTAAAAATGTTGAACTGTCCTGTGACATCATCTGGGGTAGGATATTAATAAAGAACCCAGCTAGTGAAAGAACACATTTTTCAGTGATCAGTGGTGACAGAAAAATAAGAAAATAAAGTTTGTTTGTTCGTCCACTCATTTGTTCTCCCTCCGCCTCTTGACGTTTCTATTTTTGTTATGTATGCTCTCGTTGAGCAACGGGGAAAATGCGCTTTGAGAGCATGCATCTTCCCTGTAGCAACATACGGATGTCAGTCGTGGACTGTATCCTAGTCCTTAAGAAAGAGAATAGGGGCTTTTGAATTGAAATGCTATAGAAAGATTCTCAGAATATCTTGGACAAAGAAGAGGGCAAATACTGACATCTTGAAAGATCTGAACATCAAGGAAGATTGGCTAATAAACAGCATCCTGTCTCAGAAGCTGAAATATTTTGGTCATATCAAGCGCCATGACGGATTGAAAAAAAAAATAGCAGAAGGCATGGTACCAGGAAGGAGGGGCAGGAGCAGACCAACACGAGGATGGGCACAGGATATAAGTGACTCCTTGAGGATGAAAGTACATGAGGCGGGAGAGCTGGCAAGAGACCTGGTTTCTTTCAGGCAGGCTGTGATGAGAGCGACATTCTGTAAAGGACCTGCTACATGATGATGATGATGCTCTTGCTGTTGGCATCTTTAAGTTTTTTTCATTAGGTGTTTAAACTGTTTCATTCCGGGTTTCTAAATAAATTTAATGATCAGTGTTGTTTCACTAGTTTTTCTAATTTGTTAATTTCTCACATGATCTTTTCTAGTTTTGTCCATGGCCTTTCTCAGACATATCATTTCATGGGTAGTTAGTTTTCTTTCTTGTTCTGTAGGTAATGCCCAAGTCATGTGTATCTTTGAATAAGAAATGGATCAAAAGCAAACTTGTCTGCAGTGATATGAGGTCTATTGATGTACTGTAATTGTTTTTTGTTTTATTTGTTTTAAGTAATCTTTGCAACACATATTTTGTCAAATTTTATGACTGTTTTATGATGATTGTACCAACTCACTTGTTAAGAATGTAACCTTTGTTACATTACTTATCTATTACTTCTGTTATGATAATCAAACAGGAAAATGCCCATTTTCGTATCTGTGAAGCCCTGATTGAAGCATTTGAATCCATGAAGTTCACTCGAATGATGAAGAGACAGGAGACTGGCAGGTCAAAGTCCTCTTCAGATTGCTCTTCTGATGAAGAGATTCGGGAACTGAGGCAGCGGATTCGTATCCGGAAGAGAGAGAAGATGATGGCAGTAAGTACTTAGGCACTGTTGGTTATTCTTAAAATAGTTTGTAACGATAGACAAAGTTTATGAGTATTTAACTTAAACCCTATGCGACATAAAAATGGTACAACAAGATAATGAAGGAAATATGATTATCAGATTGTTCTAATGCTGTAATTAAATATAAGAGCCTGAGCCACCCTTTTAACATTGATTGGCATATATAAAGAATAGCCAACCACTCAAAGATAATGCGAATAAATCAGGCAAATAGTAATTTAAGTAAAGTAAAAGTAAAAGGTGAAACCCCGGTTAAAATGGACGCTAGACAGCAGCGCTGTTCGGAGCAGAGGCAAATTTTTTGCTTCTGCCGGACGGTGGCCGAAGTATTTTTGCTCCATTTGTAGACTGGATATAGTTTCGTCGCCCAGCTTCTGAGTTGAATGCTGCGGATTGCATTTGGAATGTTTTTTTCGACTGTGACCAACGTGGTGTGAATTGTAGATTCAGAAAATGGCGCGATGCCGGTCGTGCAATGCTGGCGGGACCCGTATTAAAATTGATCGCGCGGGCAACTGCTGATCTGTTGGCGACAAGTTCTGCTATCATCAGTGATGAACTGCATTTCTAATGTTGGACTGTTTGTGTTAGCACTTCGGATGGCTACCATATGCGTTAATGCGAGTGTATGCTAGATATGCTGAGACAGCAGTCTGTCAATCTTTCCACAAGGGACTGTGATAAACATTCTGGGTGTTTTTCGCTGGCACAGGAGCGGAGCAAAGATGAGGCGACCCATTTGCTATGAAGCTGAAACTAAGACTACCAGACTACCAGACTACCAGACCAGACTTAAGTAAAGTAAAGGTCCCTTTTCCACGTCTTAAGGCGTATAGGGCATATAGGGCTAGACCTATATTTTTATAGACCAATCGGCACAAGATGGGTGATGTGGTCAGTATCACGCCGGCCGCCTTCACTGGTACATATGAATACAACCACACGTCACATTGATTTGCACATATAAAGACTAGTCAGCCACACATGTCATATTGATTGGCACATATAAATAGTCAACCATACATGTCACATAGATTGGTACATATGAATAGTCAACCACACGTCACATTGTACATGCCGTGTGGTTTTGGTAGTCATGTTATCCACAACCTTCTGTCTTGTGTCCTTCCATAAATTCTGATACAGATGATCTCACATGCCATGATGTCAAACTGTCTAGCATCTTTTCTCTCTGTCTCAATCTGCCTCTTCCCCCCCCCCCCCCCCCTCTATCTTTCCCACTGTCACAATGCACTTTAGTTTTCTCCTTCTCGTCACATAACCAAAGAATGTAGATTGTCCCTTTCTAATGTGGGAAGAATGTAGATTGTCTCTTTCTGTTGTGGGAAATCAAGTTTTCTCTGTGAGTCAGTTCTTTTCAAGACATCTTCATTAATCTTTTTATCTGTCCAGGGTATTCTCATCATTCATCTATAAAACCACATCTCCGCAGTTTCCAAATAAGTGCACTAATTTACCTACTGATTGCCACATATGAAGAACAGTTAACCACATGTGTCACACTCCTTGATGAGTATATAGAATAGTTGCTTATAGATGTCATGTTAACTGGTTCATCTGAAGTAACGCCAGGCACACATGGTGCGTTGTTTGGGACACAAAGAGTCTTGTCATTTGATTATTTAATTGTTAAAATTTTTTTCTTACTTTGCATTTAGGTTGTGTTTTTTTCCTTTCACTTTTCAGAAAGGGCGTCCCTTTCCCTCGTTAAGTGATGACCAGACAGACAGTATGTAGTTGGTTGTTGTGTGTTAGTTCTTTATTGTCTGTGTTTTACCTTAGATATTTCAGAGTTGTTTCCTTTTGCATCTATGTCATCATGTCACTAGGGCTGCTGTCATCTCATCGTCATTATTGTGGCTGCCACCATCACCATCTCCACACAACTGCCATTATGATTACCATTATGTTCATCACTGTCATCATCACTGCCATCATCATCATTATTGTGGCTGCCATCATCACCATCTTCACACAACTGCCATTATGATTACCATTATGTTCATCACTGTCATCATCCCTGCCATCATCATCATTATTGTGGCTGCCATCTTCACACCACTGCCATTATGATTACCATTATGTTCATAACTGCCATCATCACTGCCATCATCATCATTATTGATTTGTTGGCTGCCATCATCACCATCTTCACACCACTGCTATTATGATTACCATTATGTTCATCACTGTCATCGTCACTGCCATCATCATCATAATCATCATTGTGGCTACCATTATAATCATCATTGTAATCATCACTGTCATCATCACTGCCATCATCATCATTATTGTGGCTTCCATCATCACCATCTTCACACTACTGCCATTATGATTACCATTATAATCATCATTATCATCATCACTGCCATCATCATCATTGAGGCTGCCACCATCACCATCTTCATACCACCGCCATTATGATTACCATTATGTTCATCATTGTCATCATCACTGCCATCATCGTCATTTTTGTGGCTTCCATCATCACCATCTTCACACCACTGCCATTAGGATTACCATAATCTGCATCACTGTTATCATCATCTTTATTATTACCTTAAATGTCATTGCTGGCGTCTTTATTATCACTTAAGCTGTCATTGTTTTTATCACCACCTACATCATCCTTGTGATTGACGTCATCGACATCAGCGGCTGCCATCATCGTTACCACCACCAGCCCCCCCCCCCAACACTGTGATTGCCATCATGTTTGTCACCGTCAGCATCTCTACCATTATGATTACCAGCATTATTATCATCACCATCTGCCTGAGAGGCAAGAAACCAAGAGTCTGCATGCAAATAAGCCAGATCTGTGAAACAGATGTGCACACAACACTCAGCTTCTGGAACAACACTAAAGTCTAGAGGTAAACAAACACTCAGAGTTGTACAGCTAATGAACATGAAGAAGAAGAAAAAGAACAGGAAAGATATTTTTCACCATTATCTTCACCACCAGCATCATCATCATCATCATTGCCATCATAAAAGTCAAAAAATGAATATCATTATTGCCATTATTATCTTCTTCTTCTTCGTGTTCACCAACTGTACACTCTGGCGGAAAGTTCTGGTTGCTCGTCTACTACTGAACTGCAGTCCTGCTCCAGAACCTGAGTGTTGCGTGTGCATCAGTTTTACAGATCTCATTCTCTTGAATACAGACTGTTGGTTCCTTGCCTCTCTGGCAGATGCACTCCGACTTCAAAGGAAGCTCCTAAATTAGTCGACTCTTACGACACGCTTTTGGGGAGGCAGTGGGTCTATTCTTGTTTTCCCCTACAATGGGGCCCCGGAACCCACACGGGGGGCCATCATTATCAAATCCCACTGTCATCCTAACTGTCAGTTGTATCAACATTATGCCTGTTATAAATTACCATAATTAATGCGTAACAAATCAGGTGTGGTCAAGGACTTTGGAAAGGAACAGTCAGCGGGGAAGCACAAATAGATCTTCATGGTCTGAAGAGAATGATGCAGCGGGAAGTGACCAGGGGATCTGGCCGACGCTTAGCACTCAGAGGAAAGGCAAGATGGACATACAGTCGTAATGATACTAGTGCCATTGGAATTAAAACTGTGCTGGCTGCTGAAGATGATGATGGAAGGCTAATGGCAATGTTCTGTTGGCTATGATCTCAGTACTTAAGTTAGTTGCAAATCCTTTAAGGACCCTGCAGAACTGACCCCAGCGTGTTTTTTTATTTTACTGTTATGGTTTTTCCAGGCAAATTTTACGTTGAGTAGTTTGCCATTGCTTTCTGAATGGTCAGCTCTCATTACCACTGTTGAAACTAGCATAGGACAAATCGTCAAGACAGGCGTTTTCGCAATGCCCAAGTCATAGATGCTGACTCTGTACTTAAAACTCAACCATTATAATTATCCTAAATTGTATCACTGTTTCAGTTTTAATATCATTACTGTTGCCTCCCTGTTGTGTGTAGTGAATAAATCTGTGTTTTTTTAAATATCCTAACCCAGACAGGGAAAATCCACAGGTCACGGGACAGTCTATTATTTCAGGGGGGGGGGGTGGGTGGTAAATAGGCTGCATGCAGGCGTGGAACCTAGGCTGCATGTAGTCGTGGGACTTAGGCTGCACTCTCTAAAATTGGACATAGGTGGGTTGGGGTTAGGGCCAGTACTAAATGTTTTATGGTCGTTAGAAGCATCAGAAGTCAGGAAACCCAGGCTTACCACCCTCTGAAATGTTGGAAGGTCCTGTGACGTTATCTGGGGTAGGATATTAAGAAAACACCAAGAAATCTGATATTAACTTGTAAAATGATATTATTTTCCCGGTGTACATTGTACAGCAGGTACCACCAGCCGGACTGCCTCATCTCTAATGTCGTCAACTGATGAGTTTTCGTCTTTTTCAGGTTAGTAAATGTAATAGTTGCTTTACATTAGCTACATCAGACTGTCATGGTGTGGTGGTTGTCAGAAAAAAGTGTTTATATTTCAACTCCTACTGAGTACGTTGAGCATGGAGACACTGAGATAGATGCTGCATTGTAGGACGGGGCATGAATAGGTCGGACTGATATGCTAAGATATACGTACAGCAAGTAACAAGTAAATGTTTTTTACCAAAAGAAGGCAGGAGAAATGTTGAGAAATGTCTCTCTTGCTAACTGTGGTCTTTTCTTCTTCTTCTTGTTCACTAGTTGTAAACTCCAGCAGAAACTTCTGGGTGTTCATCTACTTCTGGACTTTAGTCTTGTTCCAGAACCTGAGTGTTGCATGCAGATCTGTTTTACAGATCTATTTTTTTGTATGCCGACTTTTGGTTCCGTCCCTCTCATGCAGACGCACTCTTGACTTCATAAGATGCCCCCAATTACTTGACTCTTACAAGATCTGTGTTAGGTGTCTTGTTCCCCCCCACAAGGAGGCCCTGGAGCCCGCTCAGGGATTACTGTGGTCTAGTCCTCAGCAGTGGCTGGATTTAATACCAGTACAGCTCTGATGTTAACCTTTTCACTCCGAGAAGCCATAAAACTGACACCTCCGGTTGCTACCATTTCTCCGTAAAAACCTCTGTCAAGTCTCGATATAGAGACATGTTTACAGGATGTCTAGAAAAACAATAAATTGCATCTGTGGCTGCCTAAACATCCAACGTGACAGAGGATGACTAAATTTACTCAAAATAGCATTTCAGGTTTTTCTTTTGTTGTTGTTGAAAAATGTCTTTATTTATAGAAATACCTTTGTAACGTTTTCCCCCATCAGCTACAGTAGTTAGTGTGTGACCGGGTCATAGGATCAATTAAGTTTCATGCTATGACTAGTTTACAGACTCCAAAAGATGTAAACCAGTTGGTTCTATGCTGTGTTCATTTTTTATTTGATTACTGCTCTCACCATGTATAGTATTATCATATTTTGGATAATAAATTGACTTTGTGCGATAGTGTTTGGTGACTTGTGTAAAATTATAGTTTTTCTAGTGATTTTTTCAGAAGTATTCAAAAAGCGGAATTTACAGGAGCTTGGCGTTGTTTTTATCTAGGTCACAAAATGGAAGGGTTCATCTTATATTGTAAAATAGGTCCCATTTCCGTGTGGGTTCCAGGGCCCTATCAAAGGGAAAACAATAATAGACCCACTGCCTACCCAAAAGCATGTTGTAAGAGTCGACTAATTGGGAGCTTTTTTCAAAGTTGGAGTGCATCTGCCTGAGAGGCAAGGATCAGCAGTCTGCATACAATTGAGTCAGATCTGTAAAACAGATGTACATACAACACTCGGGTTCTGGAACAGAACTGCAGTCCAGAAGTAGATGAACAACCAGAACTTTCTGCCAGAGTTTACAGCTGGTGAGCGGAGAGAAGAAGAAGAAATAGGTCCCAGATAACTGTGATGTACTTTTGGGGGAGTAGCCTTCATGTATCATCATGAACTAGTATATCTAAACTGTCTGTCTTGCTGTGTATGTGTACACACACATACCACAATTAATCACCTACATAGCAAACCTTTTATCCCACAGTTGCTTCACTCCTGTGTTAAAGAAAACCAATCAAAATGTCTATCTCTGTCCCTTCACAATTAATCACCTACATAGCAAACCTTTTATCCCACAGTTGCTTCACTCCTGTGTTAAAGAAAACCAATCAAAATGTCTATCTCTGTCCCTTGCGAAAAATTGATACTGCAGTCCTAGCTAAGCCAGTAGCATGCACATGCATTAAATGCATAAGGCAGCCCTCAGAAGTGCTAACACAAACAGTCCAACATTATAAATGCAGTTAATCATGGATAGAAGCAGCATTTACAACATATCAGTAGTTGCACACATTTTGAATCGCATAAGGCACCACTGTTCTCTGCCATTAAGCCACTCACTGTTTTCTGAATCTGCAGTTCACAGTATGCAGCTCACAGTGTCCTGCTGTGCACTCAGCTCAGTACCTGGGGGGTGGAATTATATCCTTTCCGATTTCTGCAGGCATTTATTGATCGGGTTAGCCTTTCCAGACCTAGTATAATTTGTGGTCTGTCATTTCATTGCATCTAAAAATGTAATTACAGAAAGCAAGAGCTTTGATAGCACTGCAAAATCTATGGAAGTTGGAAAAACATATTTCAGCTATACACACATAAAATAATAACTCTAGCATGGAATCAGTAATGCTGTAAGGAACTGCAACATGGACAGTGACTAAACTAGTTACTTCTTAACTAAACACAGTACCTGTGCAGAATAGAGGAAATAAGGTAAATGCTGTGACAGGATTATTGTGAATCTTTGGGAGAGAACTAAGCAGATATAGAATTAATGTCATCCCACTATAAGGCACAATTTTTAAAATTTTATTTTAATGCCCCACACCGGCTATAGTCAGGGGCTATAATATAACCTAATGGTTGAATGGGTTTCTGGGACTTGAACTCAGGTGATTCTCATCCAAATAGTGGCACATTGTGTCACCTTGTGTTTATCGCTAGTTGTGCAGTCCTGGTGGGGTTGAATGTCACTCATTAAGCAGATTCTAGTCAGGAGGCGAGGAAAAGATGGTGGCGTTGGAAAGACTACTGAGGAAGTCTTATCATAATATAACTAGAATGTCCCACTTGGCAAAAGAAACATAGAAAAAACACACACACAGTGAAGAGAGAGACAGGAATGAACAAGACGAGGAGCTGTGGTAAGCTACTGGCAGTAGCAAAGAATAAGACAACCTGGCATTCCTGTGTGGCTTCCAGTTCTCCATTTTAGGGGATAAAAGATATGATCCAATCCCCCCCTCCCCCCAAACAGGTGTCATAAAAGGCTTTTTTTAGAGGTTTGCTTAAATGAAATATGGATGTGCTGAAAGTGCAGATATCACAGCCTAGCTGTAAATCACTAGCACTATGTTAACTGCTATTTTAAAGGTGATCATAGAAGAAGAGTTGGTTAAGAGCCTGTGCTCTGAGGTTAAAAGGCAGAAAAAGACTTAACAACTTTTTCAGTTGTGTCTGTTACAAACCTGTTTTTCTCTATCTCTTCAGGTGAGTCAGAATCCGATGAGGAAGGTGCAGACAGTAGAAACATTGACCTCACCAGTGAGTACCAGGTGTTTCATTGATCTTTATCATCAGCTGAATCAGATATGTTTTACTACAATGTATTAATAACAAAGTATTAACCTCCATTGTCATTCTATTTTGGTCAGATGTTGTCTTTACATTGAAGGTTGGTTGCACTTTATCTCCAATACTCGTCTCTTGTCTTGGTAGTGCACACTCATATCATTGTCTACCTCTTGCTCTCTTGCCTTCAGTGTTTCCATTCAGTATGGTTTTTAAAAGAGTGTTATATGACTTTTAATGTGGCTGAAATATTTCAGTTTTTTTCATTTCTATCAGCAGCTCTCCAATCTCGTCAGAACCTATTTATTTAGTTGTTTTTGTTTCCATGAAATATGACCTGTTCTTCTGTATATCTACATCTCCAGTCAGTTAAGTTTTCGTTTTCATTGTCCAAGTTTCAACACCATATAGTAGAGTTGAGTATAGATAACATTTGACAATTCTCATTTTTTAATGTGTTGTTTGTATGTCTAAATCAGGGTTGGGCAACCTGTTTTGGTCCGCGTGTCAAATTTAGAATTACCAACCTGGTCATGGGCTGTATAGAAAAAAGATCCATTATAAACATAATACCCAGATTTCTTCCTAACATGATACAATGGTGGAATAATTTACGATTTTAATCCCTTGCTACGATTTTTACCAGATACACTCACCCACAGAAGCCCTTCTGCATATTCCTAAATGTGTATGTTCACGCTGGTTATTTGTTCTGCTATTTTGTGAGCTCAAGGGCAAGATCGTATAGTAATTTTACACAAGTCTTGTGGACCATTAAAATTGGCTTGGCAGGCCAGCTACTATTATCATTGTAAACATTATGATCATGACTTGCAGCATTGCCATTTCAGTTGTTTTTAATTTTGTCATCATCATAACTACATAATTATCCCCATGATCATCAAAACAGTATTGGTCATTATCACTGCCATGAAACCTGAAGGACAGCTGAAAGAGATGAAGCCTTATCACAGACTTTAGAGAGCAGTCTTGTGACAAATCTTTGAACCCATCAGATGGATGAGGTGGAGAAACAACAAAAGTCCTTGATAGTCTGTTTGAATCGTCACTAATTACTGGCAGCTAGACGACAAACATTGGGGCAGATAGAGAGATGGCATGTAACAGAGAGACAGAAACTGCATACACAAAAAGAGTTTAAAAGTATTAGACCACAAGGTACACAAATAAGATAGCAGAGAGATAATATACAGGCAGACCTACAAATATTTGGAGTCACCATCTGGAAAGGCCACTTCACAATGAAGATAATATTGCCAGAACTGGGATTTGAACCTACGCCTACAAGATTGGTTTGCAGCCTGAGTGAACTGGTTTTAGACCCCTCTGCCATCTTGACACTGAAAACCTGAATGGTCTTGTCCAGTAGGAATGGAACAAGTGTGGGGGGTGACCGATTACAGTGAAGTTGAATTTTTGACTAAGACCCAAAAGTCAAATTGTCTCTAGTGAAACAAACTGTCAAAAAATACTAGGGTTGGTTTGCAGTTTCCTGTAAAGGATAAAGCAACTTTTTAACTTCCATATATTGTGTAAGTCTTGTTTTGTTTTCTTTCACATTCAGTGTCAGCTGACAACCAGAACCTGACAGCTATAAGGTCAAGCGGTCTAAATTTATCAATGGCTTCACTGTACTCAGGTTTGTTGGGTGTTTCTGTGGTAACATTTTGGTGTTTTTGAGACCTATAACAGTTTTCCTATTGGCAAATCTTGTGGTTTTATGGTGTAGGCAGTTTTTTTTTTTTCTGGCTGAGTGGTTTCTTTGCCTTATGCTCAGAAGGTCATAGGTTCATTTCACGCTTACTTGGGGTCATCCTGTTGACTACTGTAATTTTTAAGTGATTATTGGTAATCATCACTACAGCTATATTGTTTGACTACAGCTATATTGTTTGAGCTTTTTGTGGCACTTTTGGTAGATGGCTAGCCATTATGAGTTGAGTTGATTTGAGAACCAACATCATAGCACTCAGGGCATTCCTATAAGGGCTCCATCCCATTTTAAACAGCCAGCACAGAGTTCCAATACCAATAGTATCAATAGCAGTCTGATTTTGCGTCCGTCTTGCTTTTTCTCTGAGAATTGAGTATTGCCCGCATCTTTTCGTCGCTCCTCAGTGTCTCACTCTCACTAGACCGTTGTGATCCATTTGCTCCTCCAAACTGTACTCGTGCTCCCATAAGGCCTTGAACACGTTTGCCTTATCAAGCATCAGTATTCCACCAAGTTGTGCAGCACCAGACAGCCTGTTAGCTTGTCTGCCTCTATGAATATCAAGGAAGAATATAAACCCGAATGAAAAGTATATCATATGTCTCTATGAAGAGACATTCATCAATATGGGATAAAATTTTATGCAGTGAAATTGATCCTCTTGACTTTTTAATCAATTATTACTGCAGTCTGCACCTGATGAGATACAGCGAAATATGCCAGGCAGTAAATTGTGCAATCTTGTGTTTGTGACCTTTTGTTTTGTTCACCGTAACACATTATTTACACTACGGCAAAGTCACTGTAAAATTGTGGGAATTTTCATCATTTCAGGGCTGTTAATTGCACCTATATAATATGCCAGAGTCGTACTTGTGAATTCCTGCATCTTCTTCTTCTCCTTCTTCTTTACGTCCTCTTATACCGCTTCAGGTGTTGAGGGAGATATAAAGTCCTTCTTCGTGCTCTTCTGGCTGTTTCGACCATACTTCATGGTGCTGTAGAGTTTCTCTGATATTATTTTGCCATCTTGTTCTTGGTCTGCCTCTTGCTCTACTTCCCTCTCCTCTTTTGGTATATGCCTTTCATAATATAGCATCAGAAGACATTCTCTCTAAGCGGGCAAACAATTTGATTTACTGTAGGTGTATGTAATTTAGAATTGGTTCTGTGCCGACTTTATCTTGTATGACCTCATTCCTGATTTTATCTTTTCTGGTCACTCCTACAGTCATTCTCAGACACCTCATTTCCATGGTTACTAGTTTTTTTTTTTTAATATTTGATTGTCAGTGACCATGTCTGGCACTGTCAGCATAGTGTGGAAATGAATCTGCTTTGTATGAGAAGTTTCCTTGTGCTGATTGGGATTGCCTTAAGAGGGGGGCTAGCTGTCCCAATACTTGGCCTGCTTTTCTGCATCGAATGTAAATTTCTTTGTCCAATTTACCATCTTCAGTGAATATTGTTCCAAGATATTTAAACACTTAGATGCCTGTTTAATATATGTATGCTCTAGTGCTGCGTTTAAATCCTGCTTTTTTATTCCTATTGACATTACTTCTGACTTTTTGATGTTGATTCTCATATTTTTTTATTTACATTCCTCACTAATGGATGTGAGATGCTGCTGCAAATTCATGCATTCACCCCTGCATCAAAAAGATTAAATGACGTATGACTTTTCCGGCAACTACTCTGTTTTTATTTGCCATTTAATGTTTAGATTTGATGTTCTGGAAACGAGGATTTAGCACTTGGATGACTTTGGCATGGTGGTAATATGTCTTTGCCTTTGTATTGGAATGGCGGATAAGTGATTGCGAAGAATAACTACAATATTCTGAAATACATATGACGGAATGGAGGTGCCTGAAACTTATTTTATCATAATCTAAGTCATTATGTATAATTTTTTGGTCAGGATATTGTGGGGATGGAGAGTCGTAAGAATGGACTTTCATTAAATATTAAGAAAAAAGAAGTAATGGTTATATCAAAGAAGAAGATAATTCCACGTTGTGATATCTCAATTGAAGGAAAAAGACTTAACCAAGTCAATAAATTTAAATATCTGGGAACAATCATATCATCAGATGGAAAATGTGTGACAGAGATTAAAAAGCAGAATAGGTCAAACTAAAGCTGCATTTCAGAAAATGAAAAACATCTTATTTATGCATTAAATCACTCTTATTTAATGTCAGAAAGAGGGTGCTAAAATGTTACAAAGAACCTGGTCTGCTGTGTGGCAGCGAATCTTAGAATGTCACTGAACAAATTAAGAAGAATTTGGAAGCAACAGAGATTTGGTTTCTGAGACGAATGTTACAAATACCTTGGGCGCCCAGAGTAACTTAACAACGATTGCTTGAAAGAGGCTAAGGAAAGTAGATATCTATATACAACAATAAGAAAGAGACAAACACTGTTCTTTGGCCACATAATGAGAGGAGAGACATTGGAGAACATAGTGACAACTGGAAATATCAGTGGAAAGATGGGTAGAGGCAGACCAAGAAATGATGCTAGATGGACTAAAACGATGGCATGGACGGATATCATCAAGAGAGCTGCTCCAGTCAGCCAGGGATCGTGATCTGTGGAGACGCATGAGCTCCTACGCCAGTTGGCATGGTACATGATGATGATGATGATGATATACAGTTCTTCAATGCAGCAGTCATCCCAAAGTACCTCTAATCATTTGCTAAGAGAAGTTGGTTATAATATCTCCTCTCTTGATCTAGAAGTCAGCATGAATATGCTTGGCCAGGCTTGCCTTGTTGGATTAGCACCAGAGCTTATGAAAAATTAGTTAATTTTGCATGATAAAATATTTATTGATATTTCTTATGAATACCAAGAAGAAACAAATCAGTGCTTTTGAACTGAAATGCTTCAGATATATCTTAAAATACCATTGACCAATAAGAAGAAAACACCAACATTCTGCATAATCTGAGCATCGAGGTTAATTGGCTCATAAACAGCACCCTTTCACAGAAGTTGAGTTATAATATTGAAAAAAAAAAATTGTAGCTTCTGAGAGGAAAACCATTTTTTCATAATTTTGGACGTTCAAAATCATTGTAATTTAATTAGTGCATCATCATCGTCATCATCATCATCATCATCATGAACCACTTCTGCCGTTAAGCGTCGTGGGGAGGAATAATTTGCGATCCAGTGCACATTGACTGCCACTGGCTATTGTCATGTCGTGAAGGTGTAGAGTGTCTTTAATGTTGTCGATCCATGTTTTCAGTGGCCGTCTTCTTGCTCTTGTAACTGATCTTCTGAGATGTAGTACTTGCGATAGTATTGATCTTGCTGCATTCTAACGAGATGGCCAAACCACTTGATCTGCTGTTACTCAATGAATCTAGTACAAGGTGTCGTTCCCACAGTTTGCCTGATAGTTTCATTTTTGGCTCCATCTCGGATGGTTAGGTTGGCTGCTTTTCTCAGGCATCTCATCTCGCAGGTGGTGATTTTGCCAATATGGGCTTTACATAGTGTCTATGTTTGTGATCTTGAGGTCTATCTTCTTCAGGGTAGAACAAGCATTGGTCGTCAGCAAATAGTAGTTCGTTTAATGTGGGTGAATCGATAACTTCTCCTGATGTGTGTACTTCCTCGTGATTATAAAGGTCTATGTTGTCTGTATCAGAACTTGCTTCTTTAGATATTTTGTCTATATAGATGTTGAATAAAATTGGGGAGAGCACACATCCCTGTCTCACACTTGTGTTGACTGTGAGCATATCTGATATTGCACTTTTGCTTGTGTGGTACATGGCTAGGATGTTCTCTAGTAACTGTCCTTGTACCCCGTAGTTCTCAAGAACAGACCACAGTTTGTTTCTATCCACTCTATCAAAAGCCTTTTCCTGATTTACAAACACAATATTCTGTTTGGTATTATACTCAATGGCTTTCTCACACACTTGCCTCAGTGTGAATAATGCATCTGTGCATCCTCTGCCTTTTCTGAAACTGAATTGTGATGCACTAAGCTGTTGTTCAGCTATGGGTATAACTCTCTGTTCTAGTAATTTGGCGTACATTTTTCCTACGTGACTCAGAAGTGATATACCTCTGTATGCTTCACATTCTCTCCTATTACCTTTTTTTTTTCATAACGCAACTATTAGTGCCTGTTGCCACTCAGCTGTGACTTTTCTTTCTTCCTAAGCTATATTACAAATTCTAGTAAGCCATTTAACACTCACTTGTCCGCATGCTTGGATCCCTTCTGTATTAATTCCATCCAGATCTGGTGCCTTGTTTCTGGGGCTGTTCTGTATATCTGCTCTTACTTCCACTGCTATGAAATTTGGTTCCTCTTGTTCACAGCAATTAGTGCAATCGTTTAAATTGTGCTCAAGTTTTCCTTAGGGTTCAGCCAATCACTTGACAACTCTTATTCATCTGAGTCCTCCATCTGAGTCATCAATAGTTTTTAGGCATAGACGCTTCTCCTTCAACCAATAAAAAGGGCCATCGGGTACTGTGCAATTATATAATTTTTTTTTGTTTTAACAGTATATTTTGGTCGTGTTAAGCGTTTAGATGGCCAGGAGAGGGTGATGATAGAAAGCAAAGTATCAAGAAAATGAGATGGTGGCAGACCTTCATGAAGGTGGATACAAGACAACGAAGATGAATTGGCTATGAAAGCGACGTTGTGTGAAAGACCTGCTAATTGATAATGAATCCAGTACCAAACATAAAAGATATTGCACAGTGCGTTTTTTTTTTTTAAATGACACACATGAACGATAGCTGATCATACAAGGTGTGTTGCTTAAGTCAGAAGGAGTTAATCAGTATGCCTACACAGTAAATTCAAATTAATAAAACCACAGTTCTTGAAGAAGATTCCCGTGTGAGTTCTGAGGCTGGGGGGGGGGGGGGGGAGGGGGGGGGAAGAATGTAAACCCACTGCCTCCGCCTTGCCAACAAGCATAACGTAAAAGGTTAGGAGTATGCTGAACTGCATCTGTTGGGCTGAAAAGCACATATATCACAACCAAGCTGTACACTACAACGCAACATGCCAGCTGCCCTAATAATGGTGAACATGGAAGAAGATGATGTAGAAGTGATAGTTATGTTTTCATTACATGATAGGTCTTAAGGTTATCTCTGAAGATGTACATCTGAGATACTGTTATAAATATGAGTCATATGTTCTGTATTTATACAGATGCAGAACTTCTGCGTAGTAATCAGCAGTTAGAGAAGAATAGGTAAGACAAACTTATTGAGTTACCTTAGTGAGTCGTTACACTAGTGCATTTGTATTTTAATTATATGCTATTCAGTTATACCAAAGCAAGATATACACCAATAGATGAGAAAGAGGTAGAGCAAAAGATAGACCAAGAACAAGATGGAAAGATAACACCAGAGAAATTGAACAGCAATATGATGTGTCTGTGGTAGAGGCAGCCAGAAGAGCAAGAAGCAGAACCTCATATCTACCTCGATACCCAAATTGGCAAAAGAGGAAGTGAAGTAGAAGAAGAAGATTCATCAGTGTAGTAACCATTGCTGGGGAAAGCCTTGGGGGTTTTAACTTTCTCCATATTAATCCTTCATATCCTTGGCCAGATTTGTGGCAACCTACCCCCCAACCCGTAGCTTATTCTGATGTTAAAATTTGATGTCCCATTTTCCTTGCCTTTCTTGTATGTTTCTGTGTGTTACTATGTTTCCTTTTTGTAGGGATGGTAATGAGAACAATAGATTGAATGGTTTGAACATATGTCAAGACTACTACAATATAATGCACCACACTGAGCAGAATATAAGCTGAGCTAGATATCACCCACACAAGTGATGGATAAATTGAATATCTGAGGCTATGAATACCATCACCTATGTAGGGCACACCAAGGCTCACACCAGATGCCTCTCAAAACCTGATGCTGAAAGGCAATACGGTTTAGAGAAAATAAAGAAGAAGTGAAGAGAAGCATACTCTGCTATAACTGATTTTGTTTTTTAGTTACCAAATGCTGTATAATTATTTTATTTTCGTTGATACTTACTATAATTTGATTTAACTGATTTTGTTTTTTAATTACCAAATGCTGTATAATTATTTTATTTTCGTTGATACTTACTATAATTTGATTTCCTATAACTATATGTCATTGTATTGATTACTACCTCAGCTCGTATGATGAATCAACGAATCCAGGCTCAGCTGAGTCTATAGCTATATCACTTCTGCGTAAGTTTTCAGAGAAACATTTGCCAAAGGCTTCAGAGTTGACCTGGCTGGTTTCTGAATGTGATGCTCCTCAAAGGGTAAGAGAAAGATTTGCATATATTTGTATTTGTTGTTGATATTCCATTGTCTCTAAGGTGTCTTCTCTTGGCAACCTAGCTGACGATCTTTGCTGTCCATTGCTGTTATTTGTTTCATAATGTAGGGCTTTCATTATAGTTATACATCTTGAAGCCGCAGAGATGTGGTTTTACAGAAGAATCCTTAGAATTCCTTGGACAGCTAAGAAGAGCAACCCAGATGTTTTGAAAGAGGCGAATGCTCGAAGACAACTTATTACAAACATCAGAAAGAGACGGTCATCATTTTGTGATCATGTTATGAGAAGAGGGAAAATGGAACATGTTGTGACAGTCTTTTACCATGACATGGAGAGGTGTCAACACACGAACTGATACATGCAGTTGCAGATCGCAGATTGTGGAGAGGCATGATCACCCACGCCAATCAGCAAGGCACCTGATGATGATGATGATCTTAGCAGGGTTACTAAAGGTTAAGAACATCACCTTGTGAATGTAGAAAGCGAGAGGAAACTAGCACATTATGCATTCCAAGAAACTCGTCGTGACCATTAAAGAAAATCACAGTGAAGCTTCCAAACTGCACAGATCATTTGTGAAGTGGCAGGGGTCGACCAGCATGATGGTGGACATATGATATCAAGGAAAACCTGAGCATGAACATGAGGCAGGAAAGTTGACCAGGGGCCAAGTGGGAAAATTAGCCTGACATGATGGAGCAACATTCTACATAGGACCTGTTACATAATTCTGCTTCTTCTTTTTATCATTCACCAGTTGTAAAATCCGCCTGGAAGTTCTGGTTGTTCATCCACTTCTGGACTTGATCCAGAACTTGAGTTTTGCATGCACATCCATTTTTCACATCTGGCTTATTTGTATGCAGACTGTTGGTTCCTTGCCTCTCAGGCAGATGCACTTCGACTTCAACAAAAACATCCCCTAGTTAGTCACCTCCAACAACTTGGGGAGTGGAAGGGGGAGGGGAGCAGTGGATCCATTCTTTGTTCTCCAAAATGGAGCCCACACAGGAAAATATTTGATGATATGTTAATAATTGTCTCTTTACTTTGGCCACATTAAATTACATAACACACTTTTGAAAAAGCATACTGTAGGGAAAGGTGGAAGGCAAGAGAGCAAGAGGTGGGCAACGATACAAGTCAAGTAGGAGGAGGACATCAAGAGGTGAACGGGCTGCAGTCTGAGAGAATGTACAACCAGGACAAGGGACAAAGTGTGTTGAAGATCCATTGCAGACAACTTTCACTGTGGAGCCAACACCTGATTATTTGGATTTTCTATTATACGACCAAAGCATGGTTTCTAGAAAAAAAGGGCAGTGGTTTACAAGCACGTAAGTGGGCACAGAACATCAAGGACACCTTGGGCATGACAATTTATGAGTCAGGCAATTTGACAAGGGTCAGAGTCCTTGTTTTTTGCTGGGCTGTGATGGGAGTGATCTTCTACAAAGGACATGATGGAGGTGGTAGTGGCGCATGTTCAAGAGACCAACAGGAGCAAGTTATGTATGGTGTGTCTTACCAGCCGATGACCAATATTTTTAGAATGAGAGCTGCCCAGCCAACTCACCTCTCTTATTAGTAAGACAGGTTTCTGCCGCACATAGATAGAGGAAGACAGGAGGAGAAGATTCTTGACACGTTTTATCATGGCATGGCAAGCTATTGGAGATTGCAAGGTGTGGAGAGGCATGATCACCCACACCAGTCGGTTAGACACTTGTTGACAATAGCGATAATGTTAATGATATAGTAAATATTATTGTTTGATTCTGATTTTTCTCGTTTTAATTTTTGTAGTTACTGCCGTTGCCTTCTTCCACACCAGTGTCTCCAGATGATGCAGAAAATGCTAATCTGTCAACAAACAGGGTGAGTAATTTTGATGAGTAAGTGGTTAGCATCTTGATTAGAGCACTGGTTTGGAGCCAGTGAAAGAATATGTCATAAATAAAGTATATAGTATTTGAAGGGATAGTGTCGGCTTCATTGCTCTAGCATTTCTCTGCAGAGTCGCTGTTTACTTCCAGTTTATCCCACATATTTGGATTGGAAGTATATAGTTCCATTGCCCTGTACTGATTTGAATACTTGGCGTGACATTAGGCTGCAGATTTTATTTGGAGTGCTTTTAGACGGTGCCCAGTGTGGTTTGTGTTGTGAACTGCAGATTCAGAAACGGTGAATGGCCTTTGGCCACAGAACAGGTGGTGCCTATTTGTTGAGTCAAGAATTGACATCACACCACTCGGGGCATTCCCATGCATGCTCCTTCCTCATCTTCAGCAGCCAGCGCAGAGTTCCAATACTGATGGTACCGGTCACAATCCGGTTATATATCCATCTTGCCTTTGCCCTGAATGTAGTGAGCCGGCCAGACCCTCTGGTTACACCTAGGTGCCTCATTCTCTCCAGGCCATAAAAATCTTGTTTCTCTACTGATTTCATTGCTTGTTTCCAAAGGGCCTTGACCACATCTGCCTTGTCATGTCTGGTGCAGATCCAGCCAATCTGTCTGCCTGTTCATTACCCAGGTGGCCTAGAGAAAAAATCAAAAGTTGCCTATTTATTGCTGCTTCCATAGATGATGAACTGCCTTTCTAGTGCTGGACTGCTTGTGTTGGTACTTCTGACAGCTGCCATATGCATTTAATATGTGTGTATGATGTTGTCTTTGCCAAAACTAGGCAGTGTCAGTTAGTTCACTGGGGACAAGGAAAGGCATTCTGTGTGGTTTTTTTTGGCACAGGAACGGAGCCACATTCGGGTGACCCATTTGCTGTGATTTTGGAACTGTGATTATTTAAATTCTTTGAACGTTGCCTAAAGCACAGACAGAAAACACAGAATTGTAGTTCTGCTAATGACCCCCGGGGATCTTTGAAACACCAGTACTTTTGAACCAAAGGACTAGGTCTGAAATTTAACCCACAACATTCAGAGCATGAAACATGCTGTTCAACTGCTTCACCATGAATAGTATATACATATATTTGGGCCATAGCACTATACAGCTGTGAAACATGGCCTCTAAGCAACAGAGTTTATATATATATATATTTTTTAGACATACATTCAAACACAAAAATAGCTATGGTATTGTCACAGGATGAGAAGAATAAGAAAGAATGAACCAAGAGACTAAGGGGCGGTTGACGCAGCAGTCATATTTGTGATGTGTGGCTACCTGCGGGCTTAAACATTCCTACTGAGACACTACATATGTCTTACTAGGAGTCTTTGCTTCACCAGATGGACTATTTCTGATGAGACACTGCATATGTCTTACTAGCAGTCTTTGCTTTATCAGATGGACTATTTCTGATGAGACACTGCATATGTCTTACTAGGAGTCTTTGATTTACCAGATGGACCATTTCTGATGAGACACTGCATATGTCTTACTAGCAGTCTTTGCTTTACCAGATGGACTATTTCTGATGAGACACTGCATATGTCTTACTGGGAGTCTTTGCTTTATCAGATGGACTATTTCTGATGAGACACTGCATATGTCTTACTAGCAGTCTTTGCTTTACCAGATGGACTATTTCTGATGAGACACTGCATATGTCTTACTAGGAGTCTTTGCTTCACCAGATGGACTATTTCTGATGAGACACTGCATATGTCTTACTAGCAGTCTTTGCTTTACCAGATGGACCATTTCTGATGAGACACTGCATATGTCTTACTAGCAGTCTTTGCTTTATCAGATGGACTATTTCTGATGAGACACTGCATATGTCTTACTAGCAGTCTTTGCTTTACCAGATGGACCATTTCTGATGAGACACTGCATGTGTCTTACTAGCAGTCTTTGCTTTACCAGATGGACTATTTCTGACGAGACACTCACTGCATATGTCTTACTAGCAGTCTTTGCTTTAACAGATGGGCCATTTCTGATGAGACACTACATATGTCTTACTAGCAGTCTTTGCTTTACCAGATGGACCATTTCTGATGAGACACTGCATATGTCTTACTAGCAGTCTTTGCTTTACCAGATGGACCATTTCTGATGAGACACTGCATATGTCTTACTAGTAGTCTTTGCTTTATCAGATGGACTATTTCTGATGAGACACTGCATATGTCTTACTAGCAGTCTTTGCTTTACCAGATGGACCATTTCTGATGAGACACTGCATGTGTCTTACTAGCAGTCTTTGCTTTACCAGATGGACTATTTCTGACGAGACACTCACTGCATATGTCTTACTAGCAGTCTTTGCTTTATCAGATGGGCCATTTCTGATGAGACACTACATATGTCTTACTAGCAGTCTTTGCTTTACCAGATGGACCATTTCTGATGAGACACTGCATATGTCTTACTAGCAGTCTTTGCTTTACCAGATGGACCATTTCTGATGAGACACTGCATATGTCTTACTAGCAGTCTTTGCTTTATCAGATGGACTATTTCTGATGAGACACTGCATATGTCTTACTAGCAGTCTTTGCTTTACCAGATGGACTATTTCTGATGAGACACTGCATATGTCTTAATAGCAGTCTTTGCTTTACCAGATGGACTATTTCTGATGAGACACTGCATATGTCTTACTAGCAGTCTTTGCTTTACCAGATGGAGTGTTTCTGATGAGACACTGCATATGTCTTACTAGCAGTCTTTGCTTTACCAGATGGACCATTTCTGATGAGACACTGCATATGTCTTACTGGGAGTCTTTGCTTCACCAGATGGACCATCTGCCATTTACAGCTGGGCATGAACTCAAATTTCACACTTATAGATTTCATATATTCAAAGGCTAGAGTTGGAAACCTGACTGTAATGGCTGTCACATTAAAGTTGCTCTCCTATTTAACCCTGATAAAACAGTAATGTAATTCACAGTTTTGATGATATGATTATGTCAATGCTATGCTGATGATATAGTTTTTATCGCTAAAAATGAAACACAACTGCAAGAAGTGAAGGATATAATTGTAACAGAAAGTGAAAACAAGGGTCTTAGTTTGAACAGCAAAAAAAAAAAAAAAAAAAAACAGAATGGTAATTACAAAGAAAACTGACTCTTCCAAACGCAACATCAAAGTAAATGGCACAAACCTCAAGCAAGTTGATCAGTTTAAGTATTTGGGTACCCTCAGAACATCAGATGGAAGATGTTTTAAAGAAGTTACATGTAAGAAAGCTCAAGCAAAGGCAGCGCTTTACAAAATAAAGAATATTTTATGCAATCTTATTTCATCATCTGAGATGAGAAAGAGAGTTCTTAAAAGCTATATAAATTCTATTTTGATATACAGAAATGAATCATGGACAGTTAGTAAATTAGTGAAAACTTATTTGGAAGCTGCAGAGATGTGGTTTTAAAGACGAATTATGAGAATACCCTGGACAGACAAAAAGAGAAATCAAGATGTTTTGATAGAAACGAACTCACGAAGAGAACTAATAGCCCACATCAGAAAAAGACAATCTACAGTCTTTGGTCATGTGATTAGTAGGAGAAAACTGGAGTATATCATGACATAAAAAAGCTGGAGAGGAGGAGAGGCAGAGGAAGACAAAGAGAACAGATACTAGACAGTTTGATACCATGTTATGGAGGATCATCGGTGTCAGAGTTTATTAAAAGTACATGAGACAGAAGGTTGAGGATAGACATGACTGCCAACCACAGAGGATGATGATGTTGGTATAGATTTAATAAATAGTTGACTAATGTTTGATTTCAAAACCTGTTTGTTAGGTGTTGTTTATTTTTTTTAAATGTATTGAAACATTTATTACAGACACGATTGAGAGGCAATTTGGAATGGGCACCACCACGAGCACAGATCATTTTCACTGTACATCCTCCTGAGAAGTAAGTCTTCTTTAATTTTCTTGGTAACTGTGATCCACTGACACAAATCTACAGTAGGCTAGTTCATAAGTGACTGGATTTTGTTGTTTAAACTTGGTATAGTATGATTTAAGCAGTTTCATGGGAATGTCTTTTATCCATTCTCTTTGGTTAGGCTAAGCCCAAGAACTGTGCTGGTTAAAATAAAGAGGAAAAAAAAGACAATCCTGCCACTGCTGGATTTAAACCAAGACCATTGTCTTTGTAGAGAGCCTGTGGTATGCTGTGACTAGCATCCTTGCCCATATTCCGGTGATCATTTATTTCAAAATAATTTGAGGTGCTGTTTTCCTCCCTTGAACTAGCCTCATGATCAGCTGAACTAAAATGGGTACCAAAAAAACGACTCGCGGTTGGGAAGCATCATTTGGCGTTCACAGGTACAATTGTTACGGAGTTCCATGGGATCTTCGCTTGAGCTACTGACTTTGTGCTTTGTATGATGCTTTTAGTAGGGGGCTATCTGATATATAGAAAGAGACTGAGCCTTGTGGGATAAAAACAGTGCAGTGAAGTCAATTCTCTCATCTTGAACCTGTTATCTAGAAGTTAAAGGTTGCGAGGTGGTAATGACAACATCAACAGTCAGTTCTTCTTCTTCTTCTTTTTTGCGTTCACCAGGTGTAAACGCTAGCAGAAAGTTCTAGTTGTTTACACATCTCTGGACTTTAGACTTGTTCCAGAACCTGAGTGTTGCATGCACATCTGTTTTACAGATCTGCACTATTTGTATGCAGACTGTTGGTTCCTTGCCTCTCAGGCAAATGCACTCTGACCTCGAAGGAAACCTCCAATCAGTCAACTTACGACGTGCTTTTTGGGGAGGCAGTGGATCTATTCTCGTTTTCCCCGTAGTGGGGCCGCGGAACCCACACAGGAACCCATCAGTTGATGATTAAGTCCCAATTTTTCTCATGATGTCAAAAGGGATCCTTTATTTACATTTTACTTACTGTCTTGATAAGCAGGTACACTGGCCATTATGCTCCCTTAGTTTTTTCTTCAAATATTAATGTCTTAATTTTTTTTTTCCAAATAGGCGAGCAGTGCTCATGAATCGGCAAAATTTCCTTTGTGCTGGCTGTGGTATGAGAGTGGATCCAGGTTAGTTGTGATAAAAGGTCAAAATTAGAATCTGGTACATTTTACTTTCAGGTTCTTTATTATGATTTATTAATGCCCATGTTAGAGAACTCTGTTTATAGTTAAAGCATTGACTTATCAAGTATCTATTTATTTATTACACATTGCGTGAATCAGGCAAGTTTATAGGCTATAAAGGGATGGTAGTGAAATCGGCAATCATCTCATCAATATTTGCAAAAGCCTGTACAAGCGTAGTGAATGCTGCATGAGATCGAAAGCAGGATTGTCAAGAACTTTTATAGTGAACTCTGGTGTGCGTCAGGGCTGTTTACTATCGCCACTTCTTTTTACAACCTACAGAGATACCATTTGTAAGGAAACAAACTTTAATCATGAAGAAGATATTACAGAATTACTATTCGCCAACGACCAGGTACTCATAGCAAAAAGTACGGAAGGCCTACAGAACCACCTTAATCAAATTAGTAACAAAGGGGAGGAAAAAAAAATGAAAATAAACACTACCAAGACAGAGAGACAATGGTGATAGGAATACAGAAAGACAATTTAGAAATAAAATTAAAAAACAACACCTTAAGACAGAGAAATTTAAGTATTTGGGAGCAATTTTTACATCTGACGGAAAACTGGACAGAGAAATTAGCTTAAGATGTGACAAAGCTAATCAAGTAATGGGGCAACTATCTCCCCTGTTGACACACAAGCAGATACCTGGGATGTACTAAAGTGAATTCTATCAAAACTATTTTTTGGCCAACACTATGCTATCAGTGCCAAACATGGACACTTACATCTTCCAGTAAATGTAAAATTGTGACAACAGAGATGAAATGCTTTAGAAGAGCTTCAGGAGTTTCAAGAGTACGAAATCAGATGAATGCTAGGAATAAAGCCAGTCTTACAGGTCATCAAAGAACACTAAATGAAGTGGTTTGGACACCTAACAAGAATGCTCTGGTACTATCTGCCACAGCGAGCTACATAAAAGGTTACAATGGGTATAGAGTGAGTGGAAGACCTCAGAAAATATGGAGTGATGGCATTGAGAACAGCCTTACAGAAATGAACATCAGTCCTAATAGTTCTCTTGATAGAGCTCATCAATGAATGTTACATCTCCCTCCCCTTTCCCCCCCCCCCCCCCCCCCCCCCCCCCCCCCCCCCCCCCTATTCCCCCCCCCCCCCCACCAACATGATGAGGTACAAGGTGGAAGAGAAGAAGAAGTGATATATAGACTCACTGTTTCACTATCAAGTGCCCTGTCAACTGCTTTATACAGTAATGCTTCTATGTATTCCACACTGTCAAGCAGAATATGTTACTTTGTGTGTGTAGAATCACAGGACTATTCCCGCGTGTGTGTGCTGAGTGATTCTTTGAGCATGTTCTGGCGGGTCAAGGCAGGCTGGTTACGCAGACTGGTTGAGTCACTGCAAGACTCTCCTGTGTGTGCAGTTACCTTCATATTCTTTCCAGGGCATGCAGGCGTTGTTGGTAATGAAAGAGCTGATAGACTGGCAGGTGCTGCATTAATTGAAGATGGCCAGACCATGGATCACTCATAGATTCAGTGCCGTGTGGCATTGGCAGTTATGTCTATCCACAACCTTCTGTCTCGTGTACTTTCAATCAACTCTGTCACAGATGACCCTCCATGCCATGATGTCAAACTGTCCAGCATCTGTTCTTTCGGTCTCCCCGTGCCTCTCCTTCCCCCCAACTTTCCTACTGTCATGATGCCCTCCAGTTTTCTCCTCAACACATGAACAATGTTGGTCATCTCATGGCGTAAGAAGAGGAAAAGCACTGACAGTCATCAGGATCTGGACATAGAGGAGGGCTGGATGATAAACTTTCCTAAGCATTTAATCTCACATGTGACTTTTTTTTCTGGTTGGATATTGATCAGGCCAAGTGCCTTTGATGAATCTTGCCAGTTATTGTAATATTTTCCAGTTTTTGCTTTATGTAATGAGACCCATAATGTTGATGACCTGTATTTGATGTCAGTGTTAAGTTTAAGTTATCTTATTCCATGCTAGTAAATAAAGGCAGTCACGGTCCACTTTATTACATTCTTCAGAATCACGAATCAGGTTTGGGCCCTTGTTCCACCCATGTCATGTCAACGCACCATCCCAACATTTATTTCTTTGCCTTTTCGTGGTTTGCTTTCTTTTGCATTAAGTTTGTCAGTTGTCATTTTTTTCCAGTTTATTTGTCCTCATTAATTCATTTATTATCCTTTCATGCCATTATATGTGACATAAGGTTCATAGTCTATGTCTTCATTCTATTCTATAATCAGCAAGATGGCATCCATTCGTGCAGGTTTGTGTAGGAAAAAAATTTTTTGCAGGTTGGGGGAGCTGTCCTGACCCTTCTCTCTCTCTCTCTCTCTTTTTTTTTTATCCGGGCTTGTGACCAGCAATGGAGGAGATTTTTGTTCCCATTTTTCCTCATAGAATATTTAGAAAATTAGACTGTCTAGTCTACATCTAATTTCTCTAACTAGTTTATGATTTAGATTTTGGAGCGCTATCATATTTGTGCTATAGTCTAAAATAGGCAGACAGATTAACTGGTCCTGCATCCCTTGGTGGTAAAGTGATGCATGTTAATAAAGTCCTTTGGGAGTGAGAGAACAGTGTGGCACAAAAAGATCTTCACTGTCAAAAGAGAATGACAACAGGGAGATTGACCAAGGGATCTGACCGACACTCAACACTTAGGGAAAGCCAAGACGGACATAAATTGAGACTCTTACTGGTACTATCAGGATTAGAACTATGTTGGCTGCTGAAGGTAGGGATTTAGTGCTTATGTGAATATCCTTAGTGTTTAGATATTGGTTATTAACTCAAGCTACTCTGTTTTAGTCTCTTCCTAAATACATGTATTTTGAAACTCTTAAACCCTTTTGTTTTTCTTCCCAGCTTTTATGAAACGCTACAGGTATTGTGAATATTTTGGGAAATACTTCTGCCAGTGCTGCCACACAGGGGAAACTTCCATAATTCCTGGGCGAGTCATTGAGAAGTGGGACTTTTCCCGCTATCCTGTTGCCAACTTTTCCTACTCACTGTTGGAGAAGATGTGGCAGGAGCCGCTCTTCCACGTGGATACAATAAATCCATCATTATACAAGCGGGTCAGAGGGTTGGATAGTATCCGAGAGTGTCGGCAGCAGATAGTTCATCTGCATTCCTTGTTAGCCATCTGTAAGCGGGATCCATTGTAAGTTTGTCATTTCATCCACTGTTGCTTGTTATTGATTGTGTTGGTAGATGTCCCATTATTTAGTAATGTCAGTGTTAGAAGTTCGATATTTTGTCCTCTTGTGATGTCATTTTGTATATTTTTAAGTTAGATGTTATTTATCTCTTGTGATGTCATCTGTTGATGTTTGATACTTATAGGTTAATTATTTCTTGTGATGTTACCTGTTGATGATTGATAGTTAAATTTTGTGATGTCATCTGTTGATGTTTGATACTTATAAGTTAATTATTTCTTGTGATGTTACCTGTTGATGATTGATAGTTAAATTTTGTTATGTCATCTGTTGATGTTTGATAGTTATATGTTATTAAATCTTGTGATGTTATCTGTTAACTTTTGATAGTTACTGTATTTTTCAATTTATAAGACACCCCTATGTATAAGAAAACCTCTATTTTTATAGCCCACAATTAAGAAATACATATTTTAATCACATTCTATGTATAAAACAGCACCTAATTTTAAAATTACAAAATTTGGGAAACCATGTCATCTCATCTTATACAAGAAAAAAATGTGGAGTGTGTTGATGTTTGTTGTGGTGTGATCTGGTGATATTTCATAGTTATATGTTATCTCTTGCAGTGTCATCTGTTAATGTCCAAAGTTAAATGTTATTATCTCTTGTGATGTCATCTGTTGGTGTTTGATAGTTATTGATGTTGTTATCTTTGATGATGTTACCTATTATTTGGCTACATATGTATCGACTGATTGTTCCATAAAAAGCAATATACTGTAGCTGTTAGATAGGTGTAGTGGCCTTTGCCCAAAGACATTATGTTGTCAAAAACCCCTAAAAGTCTTTAAAATGACTTTCTCTGGGTGACAGGGTTACGAGTTAAAAATTCAGACTTCCACAGAATTCACAATCAGCCAGCAAACCACCTTTAGAAATTTAGTTTTGAGGCTTACATTGACTGTCAAGTTGGTGAAATCCACAGGTTGTTGAAGGAAATGCATAAGATGCCTTCCCATTGGATCAGCAATGATGATGTTTATTCCATGGATGACTTTATCCAGGTTAGTAGGATGGATACACACAGTTTTTACTCTTTGTCTGTTGCTTCTCCTCATCCTGTCATTCTCCTTTAAGTCTCTAGAGTTCTTGTGGAATATGAGCTACTTTTGCACTAACATGTTAAATATATCTTCGATCTGCTGTTTATCCTCGATCAGCAGGTACTTTATTTAACATCGCTGTCGTCACAAAATGCCTGTTAGCCTCTTTTTCTCTATCCAGTTTTCCAGCCATATGTTCTTTCATAGTCACTGGGTCTTCAATGTCCTGTATCCCGCTTATCATTTTCTGGAGACTGTACCCTTCATCACGATCTCTCCAGGTCACCATGACGTTCAACATGGCCAGAATACCTCCGCTTTTGGGACAGGATGCTGTTTATGAGCCAGTTCTCATCAGTTCCTAGGTCCTGTAAGATGTTGATGTCTTTCTTCCTCTTGGTCAGCTGCTATCAAGATATTTGAAGTTATTGGCTTGAGACCAGATACCCAGCACTTGTGCTGCTCTTATCATTGGTCATCCTGGTGTTGCAGCAGGAACTGATGGCTACATGCTCATCTGAAGGTCTAGAGTTCAAATCTACATGAAGGCTTTTTTTTTTTTTTTTAAATTGAACTTTAAGCTTGACTCAACCTAAAATAGGTACCATCTAATATCTCTGTAGTCAGGGTGACTGGCGTGATGTTGACCGCATCACTCATCATGTATGAGAAATCTATTTAAAATAAAAAAAAATAAAAAAAAGAGAGAGAGAGAGAGAGAGAGAGAGAGAGAGAGAGACAGAGAGAGAGAGAGAGAGAGAGAGAGAGAGAGATCTTTTCTAATGTTATTTCATGTCTAACATATGCCAGCAAAAGTTGGACAACCACCAAAGATATGAAATGAAAGTTGAATGCATTTGAAAATAAATGTCTGAGAAAAATCATGGAAGTAAAATGGGATGAATTAAAAGCGAGGAAATCAGAGAAATGTCTAGACAAATACCTGAATTGCCTGCAGTAAGATAAAGAAGGTGGAGATATATTGGGAACACTCTGAGACAAAAGGAGCAAAGAATTACAAAAGAGGCACTGACAGGAAACAAACTGTCTGAGAAAAGGAGGATGTCCAAGGGAAACATTAAGAAGAAAATTATTACGAGAGACAAAAAAAAATCCTGGGCTGAACTCCCATGTCAGAAATCAGGGAATTTGCTTTCTACTTCTTTCTATGAGTGCCGTTCACAATACTTTCTGTTACTTGATTAATTCATGCAATAGAGAGGAGGGGAGGAATCGAATGCTAGCCTTGTGGGACATCTGACGGCACACAAAGAATGATGAAGATACTTTTACATGGACTTGCTTCGGAATTATTCAGCTGTCTATAGGAATGTATGTTGACTAACTTGTGTGCATAATATAGACTGCCAGTGATGGGTAACCCATTTATTCTTAGCATTCATGCATTCACCGACTGTAAACTCCGGTGGAAAGTTCTAGTTGTTCATCCACTCCTGGTTTTTGTTCTTGATCCAGAACTTGAGTGTTGCATTTTTGATCCAGAACTTAAGTTTTGCTTGCACATCCATTTTACAAATCTGGCTTATTTGTATGCAGACTGTGGGTTCTTTCTTCAAAGGCAGACGAAATCCGACTATGAAGAAAAGACTCCTAATTTGTCGCCTCCTACGACCTGCTTGTTAGGGTATATTCTTTTCCCCCTAAAATGGGGTCCCAAAAGGAAGAGATACAGTTGCAGGGGTGTGACAAACAGGTCTTCACATGTACTAGGCAGCATAAGGAAATTTGATGAGTAGTTTAGTTGCCCTCCATTCTACTTTTCCTTCCTGGCAAAATAATAACAGTATCTGTTTTAGAGTTGGGTTTACCCCCAGAACATCACTTATTGAATGAATGTTGAATGTTGAATTAAGATTCAACATCACAGCACTCAGGACACTTTCATATGCACTCCATCCCTATCTTCAGCAGCACGTGAAGAGTTCCAATTCCAATGGTACCAGTAACTGTTTGAGTGTATATCCATCTCACCTTTCCATTGTGTGTTAAGCATCAGCCAGATCTCCTGGTAACTCCCCGCAGTGCCATTCTCCTCAGACCGTAATGGTCTATTTGTACCTCCACACTTGTTGAAAGACAATGCAATTCTGCCACTACTCTTGATGGAACCATAGTTAACTGTATTGCTGGTAAACAAGTGAGCTGACATCTCTTCTACCGTGACTGCTTAGCATTGTAAGAAAGTAAAAGACCCTTTTCCATGCCTTGAAATGTATTGCATTTATGGTTTTAAGAAAAAAAATTTTCAACTCTTTTTAACCCCACCGAGTTTAGCGTCAGATTCCCAAGGGGTAGTAAAAAGAGACATAAAATCAGCGCACCTTGCATTCATTGGGCTTCTTGGTAGGAGCCTGTGAACCTGTGATGCGTTCCTTGGGACTGAAAGAGTTAATAGGATCCCTTTTTAATGAGATATATTGGATAATAAGTCCCAGCTTTATATAGACCAGTCAGCACTTGATGAATGATGTGATCTGCTGTAATTTTCTGTGTACAAGATGATAGGTTTTCGCACATTTTTTAAGTTGAAAATGTTGAACATCTTATATATATGGAACACGTTTACGATATTTATTTCTTAATTTTGGGCTAAACAATAGGGGTCATCTAATATATACCGAATAGGTTTACAATATTTATCTCTTAATTTTGGGCTAAACAATAGGGGGTCATCTAATATATACGGAATAGGTTTACAATATTAATTTCTAAATTTTGGGTTCAACATTAGGGATCATCTTATATATACGGAATAGGTTTACAATATTTATCTCCTAATTTTGGGCTAAACACAGGAGTCATCTTATGCATGGCGGCTTCTCAAACAGGAAAAAAATACAGCATATCAGACTGGTTATCTATGCTTGACAGAACATTCTATGCTGTATTTTTTTAATTCTAGACATGATGAACCCATCAATTTGTGTCGGTGGGTTTCTGTTTGTTTGTTTGTTTGTTTAAACTGTCAGTTAAGATTTGAACACCAGTACACTGAGCTGCCGGAAAAGTGTGTTTATACACTGTGTTACCATTACTTCCTTATAAGAAAGCACTTATATTTTATTGCAGGTCAGAAATGGTACAATGCTGCATCACCTGAGATCTTTCATCTCTCTTGCTGTTGCCCATGTTACTGATTGTCAGGTAGGGTAAAAATATCTTATATAGTCTGCTGTGTGTTATGTTGGCCTAATGGTATGAGGTCTGTCTCCTAACTCAAAAGCCCTGGGTTTGAATCCAGATGAGGACATGTTTTTTTCTCGTTGGAAGTCATGATGTCATATTCTTCATTCATCTCAGGGTAGTTAGGAAAATGCTTAATCTTCTCAGACCAGGGTCAAACAGTTGGAGATTGTCTGGGCTAATTTAAAATCTTTTGGCATTCAGAAATCATTAAGCATAGGATGTAATGATTACTGACTTGGCAGTATTTCATAATTGGAATATGCTTAGTAAAATAAGATACATACTACATACTAGTTCAAAAACATTTTAATTCTGGGATAAACAAAGTGAAGATTTAGATTTAAGATGATGATGAAAATAAGATAAACCTGTCACCCAGAGAAGATGGCAAAACTGCCTGGGTCAGTTTCTATGTAAATGTCACTTTTCCAACTAGTGACATGTTTACGAGACACATGTCTAATACCATTAGCTGAATTTATGATTGCACAAACATTTAGGTGGTAAGGATGTGAATATAGTTGCTAAAAATAGCAACAAGTATATGTTGGAAGTTAGATGTTATTTATCTCTCATGTCTCTTTGAACCAGACAGCTTTTGTTTTTAAAAGCCATGTTAATTTAAAATTTCCCTAACAGCCTCAGTGATTGCGGTCACAGGGTATATATTGTTTTTAAGGCCTCAGGAAATGTATTCTGTTGAATTCTTCACTCTGTATTTATTGATAAAGTTAGTTCCTTATCCTTTACAGGACGTTGCAGAACCAACCCTAACAGCCCCTGGCTGTTGTGTGGTTTCTCTTGGCAAATTTACGTCCAGTAGTTTGCCATTGCTTTCTGGATGGTTGGCTTTCTTGATACCACTGTCGAAACCAACGTAAGGCGCATTGCCCGCAACTGGGATCGAACCCGGCATCCCGGCATTTCGAAGCGAAGTGTTCGCATCGACTTAGCCACAGAGCCGACATTTATTGATAACTTCCCCCTTAATATATCTGTTTATATGTTAAAAAATTTTTTTAAAAATTTAATCACTTAGATAAATACATTTAAAAAAATAAAAATAAAATTAGTAACCTGTGTAGAACTGTTTTGTGTAATTGTTATATTAGTTGAAGTAGTAGTAAAACTAGTTGTAGTGGTAATATGTTTGGTGCTTTGGTTGAAGAAGTAGTAGTTTTGGTAGTATGTACGGATCTTTTGTAATTGATATTAGTTGTTGTTATAGTAGTGGATGTAGCAGTAGCAAGCTTTTATGTTTATGTGCATTTAATTTTCTTAATTTATTGCCAGCAGTAGTAACAATAACAGCAGCAGCAGCAGTAGTAGTAAAAGTGGTGGCAATAGCAGTAGTAATAGTGATAATAGCAACAGTAGCAGCAGCTGCAGTAGTAGTAATATTAATAGCAGCATTAGTAGTAATAATAATATTGGTAGCAACAGCAGTAATAATAGTGTTAGCAGCTGTAGTATCTGTAACAGTAGTAGAAAAAGCTGTAGTAGCAGCAGCAGTAGTAATAGTACTAGCAGTATAGTAGTAGCAGTAATGGTAGTAATTGTAGTATGATAGTAACAGTAGTGGTGGTAGTAGTACTAACAATAGTAGTAGTGATAGTAGTAACAGTAACAGTAGTAATAATAGTAGTAACGCAGTAGTGGTAGTTTTAGTAGTAGTAACAGTAGCAGTAGTGGTGGTGGTGGGGGTAGTAGTAGTAGTAACAATAGCAGTAGTGATAGTAGTAACAATAGCAGTAGTAATAATAGTAGTAACAGTAGTGGTGGTAGTAGCAGTAACAATAGCAGTAGTGATAGTAGTAACAGTAGCAGTAGTAATGATAGTAGTAACAGTAGTGGTGGTAGTGACAGTAACAATAGCAGTAGTGATAGTAGTAACAGTAGCAGTAGTAATAATACTAGTAGCGGTAGTGGTAGTAGTAGTAGTATAGTAGAAGTAGTAGCAGTGGTAGTAGGCAGCAATAACAGCAGCAGGTATTTATGTTTGTAAACATATAAAGTTGTGGATAAAATATGTAGTATGTTTGTGTTTATTCCAGTTATGTCAGGGACTGGGCTTCATCTGTGGGATGTGCCAGGATCAGCAGGTGATATTTCCATTCCAGCTGGAACATGTCATTAAGTGTCCAGGTCAGATCTTGTTTTTAATGCATATATGTGCCTGTGGGTTTAAGAGGGTGAGGTACAAAGGGATCTAGTTCCATTCTATTTGGAGCATGTTATTAAGTATCCAAAAATGGAGGATTACCAGCTGGCTACTGATGCTCCAAGAAGTTGTTTCTAGCTAGGGTTTGCTGATGTAAATTCTCCATTTCTGGACTGGAAGTCAAAAGCTTCATTACCCAGCTACTCAGCTGTGTGCTTGATACACCACTGTGAGCTGTGGATTTCAAGTGGAATGTTTTTGTTCTTCTATTGTGCCCGCAATGGCTTGATTTGTAAACCACAATAAAAATGTAGGTGGCTAATTACATTCAGAATGGCACTTTTGAGATGTCCAGTGTAGGCTTTCATAACTGACTGCCTGCCTCAACAGTGAGCTGAAATTCTGGTGTGGGCCTCTTGGTGTTGGCACATCTGATGCCCACCTTATGCATTTACTTTGCCTGTGTGAGTATCGTGATTTTACTGTGACTGACAAGGTTTCCATTATAATTTTCAAATGGGACAGTGAAGGACATTTTGTGTGATTTTTACTGGCAAAGAAACTGAGTAGTTATGGGGCGGTCTTTGACAGTGAAGTTGTTACCTCGATTTAGTGACTAATGACTAACTATTGAATGTCCAGGTCAGATAAGATGTGTGTTTGTTGTTGTTGATTGCGTATGTGTGTATGGGTATGAGAGATTGAGCTAGAGCATGTCACATAATGTTTATCTTTTACTCTCTCCATTTCCTCATGTTCTTTTTTTCTCACTCTCTTTTTTGCCCCTAAAGATTTTATTAGGCATAGAGCATGCACTCCATAGCTCCGCCGATTGATTCATTTTATTATTAAGTTACCAGGGGATCTGGCTGACACTCAGCACTCACGGGAAAGGCGAGATGGCTGTACATTCGGACAATTACTGGTACCATCCGAATCGGAACTCTTCATTTGCTGCTGAAGATGGAGATGGAGTGCATATGGGAGTGTCCCAAGTGCTGTGATGTCGATTCTTAATTAAAATTCAACATTCAGTTTGTTTTTTGTTTACTCTCTCTCCCTCTCACTCTCACAGATGCACAAACACACACAGCAGCAGTAGACACGTTTCTCTCATCATCCTCTCTGTCTATATGTATGTGTGTGCGTGTGTGTGTATGAGGAGCTGCCATAGTGTAGCGGCTAGAGGCTCGCCTGTGGAACCACAAGATCATGGGTTTAGCTCCTGATGTAGCCTGATTTTAAAATTTAAAAAAATACTTAGGCTCCCAGGCCGATCCAGCCTAAAATAGTAAATACAGATACAGACCCAGGAAGTCAAGGTGGCCAGCCTGATGTTGCGACATCACCCACCAAGTGCCAGTTGGTCTATACAATTTTGATCTAGCTCTGTATGCCTGCCCAGTGTGCTTGAAGGCATGGAAACGGGTCTATTAATTTACAAACTTTTGTTATTTCATCTCCCCTCCCTCTCTGCCATGCGCAAATGCATGCACATGCGCGCATGCACGCATAGACACACACAGAACAAGAGAGAGAGAGAACACGCATGGACATGAGAGGATAATTAGACATAGATCAAAAGAAATAGAGTTACAAGACAAAGATCTTGGCTTGCCATCTTTAGAATGCTGTTTCCCCATGTGTAGAGCTACAGTGTTGTGAAATTTTCCTTGTCCACTTTCAGTGTGCCAGTCTTGCTACCACAAAGAGTGCTTTATTCCAGGGAAGTGTCCCAAGTGTATACGCTTGGAGGCCAGGTAAGTGTCTTCACTACCTCTAGATGATGTTTATCTAGTAGTCTGCTGAATTCTGCAAAATTTTGAGGATTTTATTATCTAACAACCATTGCTATATATAGGAGGTATTACAGGGTTTTTTCTTAGCTATTCTTGTTGCATATAGTAAAAATTAGAGGGTTAGCTCTGTTAATTATTGTTGCATTTGACAACAGTTGGAGTCTGTTTTAGAATTTTTTGCAATATATAGTAAATATTAGAGGCCAGAAGGACCAGTATCTCATGAAGGGAGGCCAGTATATCCAATCTCTCATGACCGGAAGCCAGTATATCCAATATCTCATGACAGGAGGCCAGTATATCCAATCTTTCATGACAGGAGGCCAGTATATCCAATCTCTCATGACAGGAGGCTAGTATATCCAATCTCTCATGACAGGAGGCCAGTATATCCATTCTCTCATAACAGAAGGTCATTATATCCAGTCTCTCATGACAGAAGGTCAGTATATCCAAACTCTCATGACAGGAGGCTAGAATGTCCAATCTCTCATGACAGGAGGCCAGTATATCCAATCTCTCATGAAAGAGGCCAGTATATCCATTCTCTCATGACAGGAGGTCATTATATCCAGTCTCTCATGACAGGAGGCCAGTATATCCAATCTCTCATGACAGGAGGCCAGTATATCCATTCTCTCATGACAGGAGGTCATTATATCCAGTCTCTCATGACAGGAGGCTAGAATGTCCAATCTCTCATGACAGGAGGCCAGTATATTCAATCTCTCATGACAGGAGACCAGTATATTCAATTTCTCATGACAGGAGGCCATTATATCCAATCTCTCATGACAGGAGATCAGTATATCCAATCTCTCATGATAGGCCAGTATATCCAATCTCTCATGACAGGAGGCCAGTATATCTATTCTCTCATGACACTAGGTCATTATATCCAGTCTCTCATGACAGGAGGCTAGAATGTCCAATCTCTCATGACAAGAGGCCAATATATCTAATCTCTCATGACAGGAGATCAGTATATCCAATCTCTCATGATAGGAGGCCAGAATATCCAATCTCTCATGACAGGAGTCCAGTATATCTATTCTCTCATGACAGGAGGCCAGTATATCTATTCTCTCATGACAGGAGGCCAGTATATCTATTCTCTCATGACAGGAGGCCAGTATATTCAATCTCTCATGACAGGAGGCCAGTCTATCCATTCTCTCATCACAGGAGGCCAGTATATTCAATCTCTCATGACAGGAGGCCAGTCTATCCAATCTCTCATGACAGGAGGCCAGTATATCCAATCTCTTATGATGGAAGGCCAATTGCCTAATCTCTCATGGCAGGAAACAGGAGTGTATGACTGGAGACCAGTATATGAATCTGGTGTTTCCATTCTCTCATGATGGCTCAGTATTTGGTGCTAGTATGAACAGTCTCCCATAATTGTATTTGAAAACAGTATTTCCAATCACCCATTACAGGAGGGATAATATATATGACCTGTATTTCAAATCACCCATAACAGGAGACTGACACTTGGAGGCTGGTAAATGCAAACAAGATGGAAAACTCTGTCAGAATTGACAAGTGTGAAAGGGTAGAGTTGGGGGGGGGGGGGGGGAGGGTGTTAGAGGAATAATTTTAAAGGATAGAGATTGAGTTGACATAGCAATGCATTATGTACTGTATTTTATTGTCGTCTTCACCATCTGTCTTTTCCTGCAGAAAGTTCTGGTTGTTCATCCACTTCTGGACTTTAGCCGTGTTCCAGAACGTGACTTTTGCCTGCACATCCATTTCACAGATTTGGATAATTTGTATGCAGACTGTTGGTTCGTTGCCTGTCATGCAGGTGTACTCTGACTTTGATGGGTAAAACCTTAATTAATTGCCTTATATGCCCGGGCAACATTTTGAACTAAAAATATACCTAAAGTATTTCAGGATGCTTGCCGGTGCTACGTAGTTCGTACACCACGCTGAGATTCTTTGGACTCGGGCTTGAGAACGGAGCACTTATGAGTTACCCCTTGTACCATAATGTTGATCCGTTGTTTAAACCTAAACGTTTGTACGACATGGGGCCCCAGAAGGCATGTGTTTTAATATGTGCTTAAGAATATGTTTGAATGTATGTATGAGCTATATGTCTAAGTATGTGTATACAGTGGTACCTCAAGAATTAATGCAGCTAATCCCTTTGCCGGTCCCAGAAGCATTGCTTTTTTTTTTTTACTGTTATCCTTTTGCACTTAATAGAGGACTTTGGTGGCAGTGAATCCACATCACTCGCCAGAATGACAGACTTGGGAATTAAGATCGGCACATCAAAAAACGAGACGCACACCGGACACGTCAGAAGACTTGTTAATCAACATAGAACTGGTACTATTAGCCATCGGACGTTGGGATTCATACTGAGGGGAGGATCTGAGCACCTATGGACATGTCCGGAGTGCAATGATGATAACCCAACTAACTAACTAACTAACTAACTAACTAACTAACTTAATTGAGTTTCAGTGTTGTGTTTCAAATCAGAGTGGTAAACTTTTTTTTAAAAAGGGCCTAATGTTACAAACCCGACTTGCTTTAGCATACTATAAAAGTGTATGTAAGCCTGTGCCCGGCTCGCTAGTGTAGTTGGCTAAACCTGACTTTGCGGTGACCGGGTGATAAACTCCTTGTGGTCCGGGTTCACGCCCCGGGGTAGGCAGAAAAGCCACATTTCTCCCAGATATACAGTATTTATCATGGAATCAAGGCCGAAGGGTTGCGATATCCATAGTACTGAGCCAAAGAGTTATGGTTTCTGGATATTAAAAAAAAATGTAAGCCTCTCCTTCACTGGTTTGTGGTCATGCAGTGACTTTTCCCCTTGGATTCTTTAGGTCTTTCTTATCATTTTTTTTCTAAAAAGAAAAAAAAAAATCAATTTTATCGCTTTTAAATATTAGATCTGTACATAAATCTTAAGAGTTAAAGTTTGCAAATGTCTCCAAAAAGGCATCTGCTGCTATTTTGTCTGAACTAGCTCGCTCTCTATGCCTAAGAACACTATGCATTCCTGTTCATCAGCAAACTTTCTCAAACCCCACTCTTTCTTTCAGCGCATCAGTACTGGCATCACTTGTATTAAACATTTTCGTCACTGAAACATCATGCAAAAGTAAAGCCTTCTTGCATATTAGGGCCTCGCTTACGCTATCTCCAGCAAACTGATTCTGCTTGCTTGAGAATCAGCTGTACACACATGCCGTCATTGTAACTGACTCACAGAGCATGTTGAGAAAGGTGGATACAGGCATGCTCTGTGCAGAGTGGCAAGCATCACTTTATTCTCTGCACTCCTGGCCTAATGTAATCATTACCCTACATAGTTCAGACTTTTCCTCTGGTAAACAATGAGAGTTATTGTGTTAATAACAGCCCTTGCATTGTTATGCACTCAGGTATCGCAGATTGAGTCAGAATTTGTTCAGAAATTATGTTCATGGGATGGTTTGTTCGTGACATGAGATACCACTGTATGTACGTTTGTTCTAATAATAACAAATGCTCAGTTATTATATTGACACTTCTGTTGGTTTGAATATGTTATGAAGCTTGCTTTAAGCTTCCTTTAAGTAATAGTCACTTTTTAATTGTGACATTCTCCCTCTTCTGTCTTAAATATGTTCACAAATTTCTAAATTATAGTAATCAAACTGAATATTGTTTTTTTTTGCTTTTGTGCTAGCTGTGCTGTCACAAAAACACAGCAGTATTGAACTGCACATCGTCAGAAATTTACATTTGGTTTCTTTATGAAAAGTTGGCATTGAAGCAGATTTGTAATCAAATTTAATATTTTTCCCTAAAAATTGATACCACAAATTTTGATTAAACCATAAACTCATACATCGTTTTTATTTTTATTCCCCACCATTTTCACTTCCGATTGGCCCCCATCTCTATCTGTCTCGGAAGGCCCTTTAGTGGTCTAGCTTCCCATTTGCAGCCCTTGCATTGTAGCCTTCGCAAAATCAAGTTGAAATTACTTCGGGTGTTGGACAGACAGTTTGGTAGTCAACACAGTCTAGCAGTCAAAAACAAGAAGCAGCAAATATGGAACCTTTCTATTTAAGTGAATAACATCTCTTGTTTTTTTTTCTTTCTTTCTTGAAATGTTGTTGTATGTTTATAGAAGGTGTTATGGGGATCATTGTAATAATTTCACACTTGGTGGTGGTTGGAATTTCATCATTTGTTAATGTCTTATTTTTTTTTTTTTTTTAAATTAGTCGTTCCTATTTGCTTCTCCTTGAGTAAATATTTAGTAAAAAGTAATGGACAAGAAGACCCAGCAATTAGGGCACCAGTGCATACAGGAAAAAGCTAGGACAGAGCTATCATGAAAACTGTATGAACTATACTGGAGGGTAAAAATAAATCTGCGATGCTAGCACGTGTGAGCTAAGAATAATGCCTGGTGAAGCACACCTACGCCATCTTCACAGTCAAGATAAGAGACTTTATAACCAACTTCTGATGGGAACAGTTATTATAAATACCTAGGAGTGGCTGCTGCATTATACACACGTGAAATAATTTCACATTTCGGAACTATCCAAAATCAAAAACTGTTTTCAGTACTTTTTGGCAAAATAAAATTTTCAGAATTTTAAAACTGTAAATGGTGGTCCAAAGGACGTTGTGTGGAAAAGCGCGTCCCCCTACGAAATACGCCTGGCCAAATCAAAAGGAAACAACACAAACTGGAAACGCAAAGTAAGACGAGGGAAGACATCCACAAATAACAACAGGGTGGAGGACGAGTGGTCTGATTCAGATGGAAGCATCAAGCCCAGAAATGGCACATACACTAGAATTCAGTCACGAAAGTGACGCAAATAACCCAGACCACAAATATAGGCGGAGACTGCTAGCAGCCTCGGCTAGCTAGCAGCAATTAGGGCACCAGTGCCTCGGTTAGCTAGCAGCAATTAGGGCACCAGTGTCTCAGCTAGCTAGCAGCAATTAGGGCACCAGTGCCTCAGCTAGCTAGCAGCAGTCAGAACGTGGTCGAGCTTTTTATTTTTTCTCTCAAAAGGTCTTGGACTTGGACCTGCTGCATTAGAGACTGAGCATGCATGGGAACACTAAGGGTGCAGTGACATCAATTCTGATAATATAATATGCAGTTATAGATAATAGTTACTATTTCTTTTGAAGTTGTGTAAGCACAGTGGGTAGCACGTTACCTACCAGCCTGGTAATCAAAGGTTTGAATCTCTCAAGGCAGTTTTTAAAATGGACACTGGCGGTCATATGTATGAGTCCCCATTATTTTTTACTCGGGGGGGGGGGGGGGGGGGGGGGGGGGGGGTGGGTGGGGGGGGGGGGGGGGGGGGGGGGGGGGGGGGGGGGGGGGGGGTCTCAGAAGGGACCCTTACTCCCAGACTGATTTGTTTTAAAAAAGGTACTTGGAAAGTTAAAAATACAATCCTAACCTGCACAGCCCCTGGTGACAGCCAAGCCTTGTGACCCTAAATCTCGTTGATTGGGCTGAAGCCCTTTAATTGTGCAATAGTAATAATAATTAATATTGTTATTATTATTGCACTGTTGATCATTATTTAAGCCCTTTGAGGCTCCACCGGTAGAAAATTATTAGGGGAGCCTCATTGTGCTTAGCCTTTTTTAACAGTATAGTAATAATAATTTTTTATTTGTTTTGTTTAAATTTTTGGTTGTATAATATTCATTTTGGCACAAAAATCTTGTATGCACAGCAACTTTTTTTCCTTTTTTTTTTATAACAGTCAGGGAATGTGGTTTGATATATATTCTTGCCACTTCCCCCCACACCCCCATTTTTTTGGTTAAATATATGATTATACCACAAGTGTTTATGAATTTTGATACATAGGTAGTCAACTTGAAGTCTGATAGATTATTTGCCAGACGAGCTTAGCTAATCTGCTTGTGAGTCAAAGACTGGGTTGGGTAGAATGACACAACAGGAAAGAGGGTGATGTTGCAGGGGGGGGTGAAAAAGAAATGCCTAAAATAGGTGCCGGTACTACATTCCCTTGCATACAGCTAGAAAAAAGAGTGCTGTATACATACATTAACAATTAGAATCATAATCAGAATTTTATATATATATATATATATATATATATATATATATATATATATATATATATATATATATATATATATATATATATATATATATATATATATATATATATATATATATATTCTACTATTGACACTAAAAGTCACATTCAAAGGAATATACACATTATTTTTAACAGTGAGAAACTCATTTAAGAGAACATACATACCAGAGTTAACAGTTAAAACTATTTATAGTATGTGTGTATATTAAAATGAGGCAGGATATTGACTAAAGTATCATTACTGTATGCAGCTAAAATATGCATATAATAAATGCTGCATGCCATCAGGTGGGCTGCCTCTATGAACTCACATGTCAGCTGCATGCCAACAGGTGGGCTACCTCTATGAACTCACATGTCAGCTGCATGCCGTCAGGTGGGCTACCTCTATGAACTCACATGTCAGCTGCATGCCATCAGATGGGCTGCCTCTATGAACTCACATGTCAGCTGCCTACTGTCAGGTGGGCTACCTCTATGAACTCATATGTCAGCTGCATGCCGTCAGATGGGCTGCCTCTATGAACTCACATGTCAGCTGCATGCCGTCAGGTGGGCTACCTCTATGAACTCACATGTCAGCTGCATGCCATCAGATGGGCTGCCTCTATGAACTCACATGTCAGCTGCATGCCGTCAGGTGGGCTACCTCTATGAACTCACATGTCAGCTGCATACTGTCAGGTGGGCTACCTCTATGAACTTAAATGTCAGCTGCATGCCATCAGATGGCCTGCCTCTATGAACTCACATGTCAGCTGCATGCCATCAGGTGGGCTGCCTCTGTGAACTCACATGTCAGCTGCATACTGTCAGGTGGGCTACCTCTATGAACTCACATGTCAGCTGCATACCATCAGGTGGGCTGCCTCTATGAACTCATATGTCAACTGCATGCCGTCAGGTGGGCTACCTCTATGAACTTACATGTCAGCTGCATGCCCTTCAGACCTGCAGGTTTCCTTAGAGTTCACAGATGCTGAGGAAAACTGTGTTAAGGTCAAAACTTCCCGGGACTGAAAGAGTTAATAACTTGTAAACTGAATTATTTATGTTAAAGATAAATGCACATGTTTTTCACTATTTTTTGTTTATGTGGGACTGAAAGAGTTAAACATTAACTTTTAAATTTTGAGTTGAGTTGAGTGTGGTCAAGAATTGACATCACAGTTTTGGAGGCATTCCCATATATGCTCTGTCCCCATCTTCAGCCAGCCCAGAGTTCCAGTACTAATGGTACCGATCTCAATCTGGTTATATTTCCATAAATTTAAATTGAATAATTTATGTTGCAGACAAATGAACATGTTTATAGCTGTTTTCTGTTTACGTGAGATTGAAAGAGTTAAACATTAACTTTTAATTTTAATTATTTATATTAAAGACAGATGCACATGTTTATCACTATTTATGTTTATATGTGACTGAAAGAGTTAAACATTATCTTTTAAATTGAATTATTTATATTAAAGATAAATGCAAATGTTTATCAATGTTTTCTGTTTACATGGGACTGAAAGAGTCGAATATTAACTTTTAAATTTAATTTTTTGTATTAAAGATAAATGCACATGTTTATCACTGTTTTCTGTTTATGTGGGACTTTAAGATCTGAAGATCTAAACAGTATTTTGTAAATTGAATTATTTTTGTTCAAGATAAATGCATGTTTATCAAAATTTTCTGTTTACTTTGTTTTCTAGGCGGAGGATGCAAGAAGAACCTTTGTCACCTGAAAGTCCTGATTCCGGGGAGAGTGATGAGTCTAGAACATTGATTCACAACATGGACACAGACAGCAGTCCCTCACCACTGGTTGGCAGTGCTGACGATTGTAGATAATTAATGCTACTAGTTTTTCTGTTTATTATTTATTTTTGTATGTTATGTTACGATGTTCCAGTATTTATCACACCCAACAATGGTAGAATTGTAACTTACACACAGAGCATGTTAACGTGAAGACAGGCATGCTTCATGCAGAGTGGCAAGCATCACTTCAGAGGTCCCAGGTAGTTGGCATTCTTTGGATATTTCCTCCATGTCATGCCGGTATGTTGGGAAATGAGCAGGTAGATAGGCTGGTTGGCTCTGCACCACTTGGTGGTGAATTGATGTATGACAAGCTAGATATTTTAAGGGCTCTTTGGGAACAAGCGAACAGTGCAGATGCGCAGAGGGATCATTACCGTCTGAGAAAAATGGCGCTGTGAGGAGTTAACAGGAGATGTGACCAACACTCAGGGGAAGGATGAGACGGATATACAATCAGTTACTGGTGTCATCGGAATTGGAACTCTTTGCTTTCTGCTGAAGATGGGGATAGAGCACTTATGGGAGTGTCCCAAGTGCAGTGATGTTGATTCTTAATTCAACATTCAACATTAAAAAACGGTAGAAATAAAATAACCCTATTTAAATGTGGTTCTAACATACACTGGCAATGGTATGAGGCCTGCATTTTCCATGAGCAAATGGCACACATTGGGTAATATGTTAAGTATTATAACGGCCACCTTAATTTCCCAGAGATATCTCTGTTAGCCATTATATGACAGTGACATGGTGTCACTCTTAGGGCAAAGAATGCCACTACTGCTCAGCGTATAACCCTGGCTCATTGCTGTTGCACTAGTTCACTGACATAACCCTGGGTCATTGTTGTTGCACTGGTTCACTGACATAACCCTGGGTCATTGTTGTTGCACTGGTTCACTGATATAACCCTGGGTCATTGTTGTTGCACTGGTTTACTGACATAACCCTGGCTCATTGTTATTGCACTGGTTCACTGACATAACCCTGGGTCATTGTTGTTGCACTGATTCACTGACATAACCCTAGCTCATTGTTGTTGCACTGGTTCACTGATATAACCCTGGGTCATTGTTGTTGCACTAGTTCACTGACAACCATTTTACTGTTGTAAAAGACATTTTTCCATCCTGAGAAATGCTGTTTAAATTGGCCAGTGTCTGAGTCCAAAATATGTTGGCACCTTTCTATCTTTCCAGACAATAGTGAGTGCACTTCCCCTCCCACTCCCTCAAAGGTTAAAATAGTGGAACTGTGGAGCAGAAAAGGCTAAATGGACAGTTGAGGTGCTGTTGGTAAATGTACTATCTGTGATAGTAAAGAATCTGAAAGTTGTGCGGTCTTTGGATTACTTAGGAAATTGTAGCAAGATGCAGAAAGGGTTAAAAAAAAAAAGGTATTGTCGGGAGATGTGAACCAGCGTCATTGCACATGGTTATAAACTTTAAGTGCTCTGCAAACAGTACGGACAGCTGATAAGAAACTGTCCGCCTGTGTCGCCATTCGCACGTAACTCTGTAGCTACAGTGACGTTGCTCCATTTACCCCAGAATGTCAACTCTGGTACCCATTTCCTAGAGGCTGGGTGAACCCCAGGAACCGCCCGGTTTCGAACACCGACCGTAGCTGCAGCGAGTCGCAGCTGGATTTGAAAGCGAGCCTCCTATCGACTAGGCTAACGCGGCTCCAGAAAGGGTTAAAGAGAGATAAAAGTGGTATTGCAGATCTTTTCGTTGTTTTAAAATTTGTTTAAATTTACTGTTTCTTTTAGAAACATACTAAAACAAAAAATACAATTTTGGAAATTTGAAACAGATTGCCACATGATCTTTGTTAAATTGTTTTTTAAAAATTAAAAAGGCGATCTGCCTGCCATATTTTTTAATTTGATAATTACAAGAAACAGTTTGTGGATGAAAATATTTTCCGCAATTTTAACAAATTTGTAAGGGGATTGGTTTTGTCAATTGTCACTAAAATATTATCCACCTATATTAATTTAGTCTTCATTTATTTATAAAAAAAAAAGCTATAAACTGATGAATAATAAGGTATATACTAGATACATTTTATAAATAAGCTATTAAGTGTGGTAAGAATTGTTAACTATTTAAATCCCAAACAATGTGTAATGTGTCATCCCCTCAAAAATAACAATATTAAGATTTTTGTTGTTGTTGGTTACATTTGTTCAGAGAATACTTTTCTTGGACACTTCCATTGCATCTAGCTTCTTTGAAAGTCATACACCCGAGCCCCAGCAGAGGAAGGTTATTAATATAGTTCAGTTGGCAGGTGACCTACTGGCCACCAGAACATCTACTTTAAAACCTTATGTGGCTCAGAGTTAAGAACTCTCTCTCTTCAGTTGACAAAGCTATGTTGCAAATACAATTCTCTAATGTATAAGTAGGTAAGGAAGTAAAGGACTCTTTTACCCCTTGAGTATATAATCCTTGACCTATATTTACATATTTGGAGACTACAGTCTTTAAAGTCTACCTGATGGGTTTTCATTTAATTTCTTACTGCTAGCTGCTGTCTAAGAACTGTGACACTGACTTTGTTCATTCATTGGATTCTTTTCTCCACACAAAAAAATGAAGACTACAGATGTTGAAAAGTCTGTCTGGCTAGCTAGAGTTAAGCAGGGGATTAAGGTGGGTCCTGAGCATTCCATTTGATGCTGCTGACTGTGAAACATAATCTTGTCTGTTCTTAGCTTGTGTGCGGCATACATTTTCTTTGTTAGGCTTGGCTGGTAATGCCCCTGGACACTGACTTAAGCATCTGTTGGCATTGCACACTTCATCTCCACCACCTAATTATCAATATGCTGGGGTCAGTTGGCATTATCTTGACCCGGCTGATATCTCCAAACTGGCTGAAAACATCTTGGATTTGTGCTTCTGCTGTATCAGTCTGCATCTCACACATAAATATTCCTTTCACAGCCTTGTCATAAAGATGTCTCTTTGAGCATCTTTTGGCGTTGCATGCTTCGTTTCCACCACTTTGTCATCAATCGGGTGGGGGTCGGTTGGCCTTTGCTGCATCTACTTTGGGGGCTTTACATGTGACCAGATTTCTTAGTGACTGGATCATATTGTTCGAAGAATGTTCTCAGTGCACCTGTATCCATCCATCTTTGAGCTAATACTTCTTATTGTTTCAATATGCCAGAGTTGACTTTTTCTGGGTCATCACTTTGTCCACCTCTATTGCACAAAATAAATAAATTATAAGTCTTATGGCTTCCAGGTCGACACAGGCTATAAGACTAGTGAATGACCTTGGAGGTCACTGACTCTTCTGCTAGAGGTCATGACCTCTGCCTCGACTAGTCTCTTCCATGCAATGATGTCAGTTCTTGACTAATTTGTACATTACAATTCTTACATAATTATGCCATATGCAATTTTGAAAATATTTTATGAATGGTAAATTAATAAATAATATTCTATTATAAGAGTTAAAATATTTGTCGTGTGCTAGTAAATGGATAAGAAGCTATCTCATATTTAAAATTGAAAATATATAAACAGTCAGTGGTTAACATATTCACAATAAAATAAATGGTTACATAACTTAGTGACATAACTTAGACATAAGTACAGAATGGAAGATTTACTATACAATAATTGGCTTGTACCCGTCTTATATGAAATGGTCATGTATTTATCCCATAGTCTTTCAATCACATGCTTCTAAATGTACAGTTGTTTTTTTAGATTGTTGACAAACATTTGGTCCTGGTATTTTTCTTTTGTGAGGTTAAATTATTTCTGGTTATATGTTGTTTCACCTTAAATGACATTGATGTTAAACAGAAGTTATGAAAGTGCCAATGAGATAAACGTCTGTCAAGACAAAAATGATGCTTTTTCATTTTTTTTATTTGTGGTTCTTTATGTGATGGTTCATGTCACTCGTTTTTAATCATTGTAATAATTTGTGACCTCATAGGATATTTCCCATTTTATAGGGAGTGTTTAGGGAGGTCTCTCAAACATGAAGAGAGTCAAACCATTATTCATAGATATAGAGTCACAATATGATTCAAATATAGATAGTCCTAACAGGATTCAAAGATAGTTGCAAAAAGGTCTTTGATTTCTATTGTGACTCTGTGTGTGTGCGTGTGTGTGTGTGTGTGTGTGTGTGTGTGTGTGTGTGTGTGTGTCTCTGTCTCTGTCTGTCTGTCTGTCTGTCTGTCTTTTTGTGACTCTCTCTCTCTGAATCATGTTGTAACCCTTACTATCCCAGCATCATGTTGTGACTTTCTCTCTCTTTCTCTCTCTCTGAATCATGTTGTGATCCTTACTATCCTAGCATCATGTTACGGCTCTCTCTCTCTCTCTCTGAATCATGTTGTAACTATTACTATCCCAGTATCATGTTGTGACTCTCTCTCTCTCTTCTCTCTCTCTCTCTCTCTTCTCTCTCTCTCTCTCTCTCTCTCTCTCTCCCCCTGAATCATTTTGTGACCCTTAAGATCCCTGCATCATGTTGTGACTGTCTCTCTCTGAATCATGTTGTGACCCTTACTATCCCAGCAATATTTTGTGACTCTCTCTCTCTGTCTGTCTCTGAATCATGTTGTGACCCTTACTATCCCAGCAATATGTTGTGACTCTCTCTCTCTGTCTCTCTCTGAATCATGTTGTGACCCTTACTATCCCAACATCATGTGTGACTCCCTATCTTTAAGTACATTTCTGAACCTCAGTTTTTTTAAACAAGAATTGCAACTTTGCCTGTCTTTGATTCGCTGGTGCCTCAGCTATCCAAAGAAGACAGCACTTGTATAATTTGACAGTTAAACATCAAAGAATGTGTTAAATAATAAATTTAATCACATCAGGGAGAAACTGACTTTCATGTGGATTTTATGTAGCATACATTTGATTAATATTTTTTCAATATCTGTGATTTTCCTATAATTTGCTGGTCGCCTATTCTGTCTGTGAATCTTGCTATCTTGAATACTCTTGTGACTCTGAATTTGAATATTTTTGTGATTCTGC